CTAGATTAACTGAAGTTCACATCATGAACCGGTTTCTTGTGCAGGTAATAGGTAAAACCCGGTAAAAACTTACAGTAAATATTTTGCTAATGCTGGCGACACGGAATACAGTATCTTGATCAGGGGGGTCGCTTAGCTGCTTTTTATCTTTAACTCCGTAACTTTGTCTCCACACAACTCTGTCTTGATATATTACGTTAGCAGCAATTCCTCCCTGTAGAAGACAAAAAGTAATTCCACGGGATGAGCCGCACTATCGTAAACTGACCCCTATAAGCTCCCCCTCCCCCTCCGTTATAAGACCCCCAGTTATTGGCCCATCTACCTGTAAAAAAAGCATCTGATCATAGGCCTCCCTCTAGCATGTATTGACATGACTTCAGTATAGTACGTAGCCTGCGAGCAAGGTCTCCGGGGCGCTCTGGCGCTTCGCGCTGATTGGCGAAAATCAGACAGTTCAGTCGACGGGGAACCACAGGGGAATTGGAGAGGGAATTCGAATTTCCAGAGACGTAGTTGCAAGCTCTCCCCGTCGCCAGAGCGCCCCGGAGAGCTTGCTCGCAAGCTATATATTATGCCGTTTTAAAGCTTAAGTAGTAGAAAACATTAAATGTGAAACGCATTTCGATCATCACTGCAATAGCTTATTTCGAGGCACTTTTTCTAACTTTTTCTAATCTGATTATATATACAGTCAAACCTCTTTAATACCACCACCAAGGGACAGAACTAATTGTCCGCTTTACAGAGGTGTCCGTATTAGAGATAGGGAATGTTTGATTTTTGCCAATTCTGGGACCAAACGAACTGTCCGTAATAGAGAGGTGTCCGTAAGGAGAGGTTAGACTGTAAGTCCCTTCGGTTTTAAGCCCCTGCGTCCAACCCCTTAGAGCGATGTTTCAGCCCAGGGCAAATAAGCGGCCTGCAGTTTACGATATGGCTAATTCTTTCACAAAATTGCAAATCATCATCAGCAACATCAATCAGAAATCTATGTACAGAACAAATAAAACCGATCAATATTTAACTGAACATACCAGGCCATCACGTCCATTAAGGGATTCGAGGATAAGATTTGCTTGTGTGAGATACCGCTGTACTTGAGCAGGAAGTAAGAATGGCGGCTCAACTTTCTCCATCATTATAGGACATGGGGATGCTTTAAATTCCAAGTATTTCTAAAATAGGAATAAAAATGGGGTAATTTTTTTATTAGATAACTGCAATCCACATCAAATCGCTGCCTTCCGAGCAGTTTCTCTAGTTTTGAAAGGTACAGTGAAGTGATTCAGGATTCAGTCTGTTTTCCATTCCTTTTTTGGTTGTTCTCTGTTATTTTTTATTTAGTTTACTCTCTCTCCAACTACTTTCCACCCACCTGGTTCTTTAAAGGATCAACTGTAGGCTTCTAAAACAAAAAATAAAATAAAATAAAATGATAACATTTAAAACAAAATGCATCAACTCTACTATGTTTCTACGTTAGCTGGTATGATAGATTCATTCCCGATTACTGGGAATGAAACTCTCATAAACACTTTTAGGTCACTTGGGAATAAACAGCTAGGCTGCCACGCCTAGAAATGAGGTTGATCGATCTGGTATTACAATAACGCAATACGCCATCGAAAGGATGGTATAAACCATGCTGCCTTTTCAATGCCGTGCCGCACACTTCCAATGCCAGTAGTCATTGTGGGTCCCATGCCATCCATATTCAAGCTGCGGTCTAACTACGGCAAGGTGGACTTGTTCTCTTACATTTTCTTGAAGATCAATAAATAACCGAAAACAAAATAGAAATCCAAGCAAAGAGACAGAAGGTAAATAATTGTCAGTAGTATCCGTGTAAGTCCTCTTTAACTTCTTTCTTATGATTTTTTCAAAATAAAATGCAGTGTTTTTTAATCCTATTTTGCCATACACGAAAGCCGTCACAGCTAAGAAAACCAAGAGAGATAATTCCTACGCGACGAAACAATTTGCTTCGAGGGGTGCGGTCGATTGGAAAACTGAACGTGCCTCCTTAAATTCTACCTACACCCCTGCAAGATCGAGCTGTTTGCCTTTCCCATCATACCAGTGATAAAATCACCCCAGTTCAGATCACTGGATCGGACACAGATCGGCAAAATTCCAAGGTATTTGTGATGTTTGGCGGTCTCCAAAGGTTCCCCATAAATGGTTTACTTGCATTCAAAACTGGAGATTTCGAGCTTAAGGCCTCGTCCACACGAATCCGGATACTTTTGAAACCACATACTTTTTGGCTCATACGAGCTCAAGCAACAACGACGGCGACGGCTACGAAAACGTCACTTAAAAAGTGAGTTCGCGCTGCTTTAAACTTTACCGCGATTACTCCAACTCGTTCAATTCGTCAACTGTTGGCAAATTTTTCTGGAGTTAAATTCTAAAAGACTGTATCAAATTTCAGGAAAAGAAAATGAAAGTCATTTTCTAGTGTTCACGTCCTAGACAAAACGTGAAATTGGGCACTTTCACCTTGTAGTCATACAGCGACGGCAAAGAAATGTACGCACACTGGATTGACCGACCGCTGGTCAAGGGGAACGAAGACCTGGGTACGAGGGTGTTAGCAAATGTGATTAATCGCAATAGCGTATTTGTGTGGTCGACTGAATCCAAACCGGGTAGACCACACCGAATTCGTGTTGAGGCAAATATCAAATATGCGGTTTCAGCGTATCACGATACGTGTAGACGTACCCTAGGATTTTAGCATGGTGCACTTCTTTGTATTAAACGATATTTGCCACGAGGTCAGCCCCGCGTGCGTGCGTGCGTGCGTGCTTGACTTTCTATAGTGACTGTTTCTCATGATCACTGTCCAAACAACACGGCGTAATCATCTGCAAAAAGGCCCGCTTTTGGCTATTACATTTTTGCCAATATCGTTTGTGTATAAAAGGAACACATAAGGACTAACGCTGTCCCCTGGGCCTTCCCTAATCTGGCTGGAATAACAGAAGCGAAAATTGCAGGTGACAATAAAGACAATAAACCGTTAACAAGCACAGTTTGGTGTCGAGTAGTCAGCCATTTCTCAAGTCACGCCTTGAGATTTACATGGATTCCGTGGAGATCTAATTCAGCCAAAAGGAGTTGGTGGGACACCTTGTCGAATGCCTTCGAGGACTAACGCTGACTTCGTTGGCCAAGGACAAGGTTGCGTGCAGTTGTTCAATAACCGTGATTAGTGGCGTTTCACGTGAGTGCCCTCGTCGGAAGCAATTTCGATAATCTACCAGAAAAGAGTTTGAATTTGCCGGTATATAAAATGTCCCATTATCTTTAACGCACAGATGGTAAAGAAATCGGTTTGTAGTTGCTTATCTATTTGTGATTTCCTTCATTAAATAATGAATACTTTATAGCGTGCGAAGTCCCCGGAGTCTCTGGAGGATCCACTATAAAATTACCTTTACAACCTGGTTACGTAACCTGCGAGGCCTGCCAACTTACATAAGGGTTAGCTTAAACATGGCACCCATGGCGTGAAAGTTTATCAACCCTACGAAGTAGGAATTTGACTTTCGCCCCGGATATTTTGAATTCCGTTATTTGAGACTTATCCGTAAAAGAATCGAAAACTCGGAATTTACTGCCTCATAAACACATTACTATCATTACAGCGCCAACATTTGTTCTCGTTAAAACAAGTAAAGGTCACAGGTGATATGGTGCGAGATCCTGAATAACCAAGGAGCACTTCTAATTGTAATATATTCTTCATATTAGTTTTTAAAAATAAAATTTGACTGAAAGCTTAATTCAGAAGTAGTATAAAAGAGGATAAATTTAATTTGTGAAGCAAATTAATGTCAACATACTTTTTGTAGTACAGTAATTCATTTGTGAAGCATTCGTTGACATTCTATTTTCCAAAGAAAGAAGTGGGAAGGCTAGGTCTAAAAATTAATTAAAAAATTAACTAACCTGCTCTGAAGAATCATTTCTCTTTGTGATTTGCCATACAAACAGAACAGTCATTACGAGGAGTCCGAATGACACAGCCACAAGAGCAAGTTTCAACCGACTAATCGTCCTTGTTTCTCTGTTAGAGCTGACATCGGAGTAAGTGACAAGAACTTGCGATCCAACTGTGGACGTTGAAGAGTTGCTTGACATCAAGCTGCTCCAACTTTCGCAGCGAGCACTAAGGTCGCTTTTTGGGATCCTGAGAGAATAATAAGGCACACATTTATGGATAACAAGAATTCAATGGACAAGAGTTCTTGCGTACGAATCTAGTTATCCATCATGTATCTGCTACAGTGCATTGTGAATCAAACTCACTCAAAAGCCAACTGCTGCATTTTTAGAGGCTTCAATCTACGAGTAAATCGGACAACCCCAAACGCCGGCCTGAGTACAAGACACGTACAACGAGTGTCCAGGCGCGCGAATGTTTGCATGACAATTAAGGGCGCATGGAGATCAGTTTATAAGCAAGTGCGCTTTTATCTTGGACACAATGGACGGTATTTAAACACCGCTACAAGCTGGCATGCCTAAAAACAAAGGCCAGGAGTAAAGTCGTACGTTCAAAGCTTAACAGCATTTGCATTAACAAATCGTTAACCTAGTAAAGATTATCCTGCTAAGACTTTGTGCAGCTTCAAATCACACAAACCGAGATGCAGAATTTGAAAGACCAGGAATGACCATATAACTAATGTTACAGGAAAAGCAGATCGATTACTTGGTGTTATTAAAAAAAACCTAAAAATTAAAATGCTAGAATCCGTTCAAACGCAAGCTTACTATTCCCTTGAGATATACAGCTATAGTATTTACACGTGTGTACGATTCTCAAATGAGGAGTCAGGACAGGTCCAGCGAACAGAAGCGGCAGTTATATTTACGCATTACATTATTAACCGGTCAGTGTAAAACGAAGACTGCGGACTGCAGACTGCAGACTGCGGACCAGGAGTAGAACGAAGACTGTGTGTAAGATGCGGACTGCAGGCTCCGAGTAAAAGGCAGGTTGAGGTAAAATGCAGACCGAGCATAAACTGTAGTCGTGAAGGTTTAAGGGCAAAACAATCCCGCAAATACATGTGAACGAACACTTACTTGACGACATCTGCTTTCACAAATCCATTCCTTTCTTCTCGGGAACGTCCTCGACAACCCGAAAACATATTAGTAATCGCAATCTTGAACCTTTTTCCGTCCGAGAAACCTCACGCTTCAACTTTATCCGCGAAGTTTTCGATACACGTGATCGCGAATTGGTACAACACCACGATGTATACGCTTAAATAAAAGCTGCTGACCCAAAATACTGTCCAGAGAGAATTCAAAAGAATTATGGCCATAAAAAAGGGAGTAAATCATTCCAACAACAAAGGAAGATGTTCTGCAGGAAATTTGGATGACCCTCTATGAAAGGATTGAAAATCAAGCTACGCAGACTTAAGCAGCTGACTTAAACTGCTCGGATATTCATTGAACTTTTGGCGATTGTAACTATTTGGAGAACAAGGAGTCTTCATTTCTGCATTTTGCACCCAGCCTGCATTTTACTCTCAGTCCGTAGTCTGCATTTTACACTCTGTCTGCATTTTACCCCTGGTCCGCAATCTGCAGTCCGCAGTCCGCAGTCATCCTTTTACACTGAACACCAACACGTACATACATACATTAGGGACTTCACGATCCGACGACGCGCTGGCAGGGAAAACGTCGCTTAATTAATTCTTCCAGTCTTTATCGCCATTTTTTCCCACCCATTTACTTTATCAAAATTAGGATCCCCATCCACGTTCAGAAAGAGAAATGAAATTTCGTCGTCGCTTGTTTACGTTTCCATAAAGTGTAAAATTAGGCAAATTCACGTCGTAGTCGTGCAAAACGGCAAAGAAATGTACAAAAAAACTGAGACGCACGAGCAAAGTTTTTGTTTTGCCTTCTAAACTCATATTTCTTGATATTCCCTTTACCATCGCCTCGTAGGATCGTAATATTCCTTTTAGCATTATTTAAATACGTTATCAATTCGTATTTACAAATATGATATGGTCTTCCATCGAGCCGTGTGTTACATTAAATCCTACTACGAATAAATTAATACTAAAAGACTAAAGTTTATGGAATGTTTATTTATTACTGAGGTGTACATTGTCATTACAAACTTAAAATAAACGGAAAAAATATAATAATTTGCTGGCACGGATTCGTTAAAGGCATTTATAGTGGGTTTGAGCACAGGTAAGCCAGGCTCTCTTATGGTACCAAACTACGATTCCAGTAAGATTACAGTGTTTGTATGGGGTAAAAATACGATCCTAAAATTTCTAGGAAATACTATGTAAAGGTCAATGAAACTTACTCTGCAGTTAGTTGTTGTTGCCCTTTGCTAAAACGAATTTTCGAGATAATTTGCTCAAATTCACCCTCCATACAATATAATATACAAGGTAGGAGGCACGAGATGGCCTCTCGGCCGCTATTGCTCTCTTTCCAACTCAACGTTTCCACGAAATTCGAACTCCAACGGTAAATAAACATGCTATGAATCGTAGAAATAGGATAGCATCAGATATAGAAACCAATGAAGATTTCCAAGCTGGAGAAACGAATCCAGCAGACTTTGACGAACTCGAAGGATAGCCGAAAGTCGTCGCGCCGAAGTAGCCGGGCCAGATCAATGCGCGGCCAAGCAAATGAGGTCTGGGCACTGTACAAATCAAATCCATCCCGGGTGTCCTGGGGTGACCTTTCTACGAATCGATACAGTTAGCCTCCCCTTCTGGAAATACATTTGCTCAATAGCTATAGAGTACTAAATTGATGATGTCATAAAAATGAAATTTCGGAAATTATGGGATTTGTCAGGATATTCTGAAAGAACAATGTCCAAGAGGCCTACTTGCCAAAAATGAGCATTTCCGGGCAAATTGTCTCTGAGATCGTAGCCCAGCGATGCTTAGAAAACTCCATACAAACCCTTCTAAATTTAGAAAATTTTAAAATTTAGAAGGGTTTGCATGGAATTTTCTAAGCATAACTGATCAGTTTTGCTGGATCACATTGCACTTCAACTTTACAGGGAGGGGATAAAAAGAAGAGGAGATGGCAAGAGGGGCCGGAGGGGAGGCGATTATTTTAAGTATTTCCGTCCAAGGGAGGCGATTAATCGAGGGATGGCTATTATTCGAGGAAATACGGTAAGTTTCAGTTCTGCTCTCCGTTTAGGACACAATCCAAGGAATAATCAACAATGGTGGTTCATCTACAACCAAGGGTGTCCAAGAGGGAGTCTCCAAAAGTTGAACCTGGGGCCTGGGGCGAGGATAGGGACTCAAAATGGAGTCATTAGTGTAGGTTCTCCACTACGCTGTGACAATATTGTTACCATATTGTTACAACATGTTTAAATGATATATGTAAATGTTAAAATAAGAAGCTGTGTTTGAAAACATACTCTATATGACTAAAGAGATTTGTATAGTAAACGAAGGCGACGGCAACCTTTGTAAATGTTCGCATCGCGTTAAACTTTTAACCATAGCAAAAGAGGTTTCACCTGCCACAATCTTTGACAGTAACTCTGAACAAGTAGTTTCTAATTGTCAAAGGATCGCGTGAGTTGTTAAAGATGCTAATTTGTCAGCTAAATAAGCTAAATACCTTAAGTACTTAGAAGAATTGTTAATTTTCTATAAGCACTCTTTCTTTCACAGCAGCAAAGCCATACATAACATTAGGGTATATGTTGTCGAATACGCAATCAAGAGCATAAAACATGTAAAATGAAAGCTGTTTAGTCGGCGAATTCAATTCGTTTCTACCACCTATTCACATAAAATTTTTAATATTAAAACTTGATGGAATATTACTTTGTTAGATACAACGTCGACATACCTTATCTATATCGTTGCTTTGATTCTCCGTGGGCTATCGCAGCGTGCGTTTATAACTTACAAGTTAAACAAACTATCAAGCCAAACTCAACAAGTAGATAGCATTCTTTCCGTGTTTTGTACTGGCAATGATGCATAGCCAAAACCCGTGACTGAGAGAGTAGAGGCAGAGTGACGTCAAAGAGCGTGAATAATACTTTCATGTCACGTTATTCTCAAAAACTGAAAGACGCATGTGCCCTTTGTAAACCTGGACATGACTTCAGAAGACATACCTAAACTCGGTAGCCTACATAGCGGGCGCCAGTTTTTTTAGGGCAAAGGAAAAAATAACCGGCGCCTGCTACACAGGCTATAAACGCGGCGGTGTTGGGGGAGCGTTCTAACTCTACTGGGACGGACAGCAGCGTTTCGCTTTACAGAATTTTTTCTTTTTCTTTCATTCTTTTATATTTTTTGGGCGCTTTTAGGAAGAGTTCAGAAAGTAACTGTGCACCTTCAAAATAAAGGTGAATAGCAGGGTTCGAAACAACGGCCGGTCAACGGACCATTTGCGGACTGATTGGGGAGTTGACCGGTCAACCTTTCGTTTCAAATGCAGCCGCGTTTGTACTGTTGTCATAAACGAAACAAGTGGTGGCATTACTGGAAGCACTTCTATGACACTAAAAAATGTGGGGAACTAGAAACAACACAAGCTTCAAGGCTGAAGGCTTCGGTTCACACATGAACGATCTTAGAAGACTAGTTTTCGTAAACAGGCTTCAGAACGATTCCATTGTAGTTTTGGAAACCAAATCGTTTTAGTGTGAACATCCGTATTGCTTAGTGAACTAGTGTGGACAAAACCACATGGTTGCGACGTGGCTGTTAACTGAATTAACAGTCACCTCGGTGTCCATAAAAATTCAACACTAACTTTTTATATCACTAGCCTGCGAATACATGTACATCCACCTAGCATTACCGCCTGTGCAAAGCCGCCTCCGGGATTTTTTTCTTGTGGGAAGGGAGTTACACAGGCAATCTCGCATCGCTCCCCGTCGCAGAGGACGTTTTCGTGACGGGGAGCAATGAAGGGTGGTTGTATTCTCAGGCTGGCTATATATCACTTCATAACACTTCATTTTATATATTGATAGTTAGCCAGCGCTTAACATGCGCGCGAGACATTCGGGGCTTAAAAGTATTTCTCTCGCGCGCGCGCATAACTTATACAATGCCGGGCTCCTGCTTATATCGTGTCCCATATTTCTTATGCGCCCCTTCACCAGTGGGCATGCTAATATATACTTGGTGGAGTGTAATACGGGATTAGCTAGGGCTTGGATTAGGGCATCTTACATTTACTTTACGCTGTGGCTAGCGTTTACTTTATACATTCCATGGTAGTGAATTCAGTCAGTTATATACAGGCGCTAATCTCTACATCACACAGGCAGCGTAATGTGACTTTTTTCTTCTTTTCTCATACACGCTACCTAAGATACGTTTATGATGGTTTAAAGTAGTTATCGTATATTAATACGCTCTCCTAATAGCTAAAAATCACAATATTTCATATGACCTTGGGATCCTACAACGGCACAAGGCGTCTTTCCGCTTTATTTGTAGCTGGTACGAGCGCCTTGGCGACCTTATCTTTAGGATAAATCGTTTTTGAGATCTTCAAATGTCGATTAATATATGATCACTTAGCACTAAGTAAAAATATTATTGCTTCAAGCTTACCTCTAAAGTGAAATATCTCTTATCTGTCCATCTGCACTACGCGAAGATTAGAAACCATGGCGGCCGGTTTCGAACAGCAAAATCAGTATCGTCCTTCGAAAATATAAAAAAGCACAAGTTACTGAACCCGACACGTGCCCGAAGTACTTCTGGAATATCATTAATGCCTCCTATAACCTCTATGGTCACCTTCTTCAGCTTTTACGCTGCTAGTTCGGATCGATATTCACTTGTATTTATTGGATTCTCTTGTAGAGAATTTGTGATAATTCGTGACTTAGATGTCACATGACATTCGAGAAGCATTTGTTAAAAGTTAATTGCGTGGTTAGGTATTCATTAACTACTGATTACCAAAAAATTTTTAACAGCGAGAGCCTGTCATAAAAGGAACGAGAGGCGTCGGGCGGCGGCCGGGCAAGAGTCACCATGGCTTCAAATGCACAGACCCTCTACATACATTTATATCTTCACAGGCGCAAGTTCCTTGCAGAAAAAAATTTTACAAAATAAGTTTGAAATTTCGGCAAGAAGCTTTTGTATGAAATGATCTTATCATGATCTTACCTCTCCTGGATTACATTTAGTAGTGTTTTAAATGCAGATACTTGGTTTTAGCAATATCGTTTTGATAGCCGATGATAATCAAGATATCAGGTAAGAGACTTTTAGGGCCAGTTATTTAAACGGAGTTTAGCGCCCGTTTAACAAAACCTCGTTCTAACCAATTTTCAGTTTTCCTAAAGCTTTTATCCTAAAACTATTTATCGTAAAGAGTTCCTTGAAGGCATAAGGCGTAGACAGACATGAAAAGAATTTATTATTATCTTCTTAAAAAAAACACTAAAGACGAGATCTGGAGGTCCGAAGATTTGCTAAACCGCGGTTTAAGTTAGTACAGACTTCGTTTAAATAACTGAGTGCACAAGTAAAACTTTTCCCATACAATTCGGCGCATACCACGTAACATGATGGCTTTCGAAAATCTGCTCTATCCTTTATAATAACTTCCAATCTGATTATAATTTTTATGTGCGGAAAGTTGGAATGATCTTGCGCACATGACAAGATTAAAAACCAGGAAAGAAAAAGAAGGAAAAAAAGAAAATGTCACGGTTGTGCTTCACTATTTGTGGCGGGACATGGCAGCTATTTAACAATTATTCCTCGAACCTGGATGGGCTCTGAGTCAATAGCCCATGAGGCCGAAGGCCAACTAGTTGGTCAAAAACATCGAGAATTAAAATTAAAGCTAGGCTTTAATCCTTTTTTGCCGCCAAAAAGCCCGCGCTTTTTGCTACTAGTGGGCTATAACATATAGCCTAGTAGTAGCGCAAACAATCAGCAGGCAGCATTGATAATAGACCACTAGTTGGGTTTTACTAAAAGCCTGTATTGCCTGTTTCTAGGGTTTTCTTTGTTGAAGTTTTCTTCAGGGGCACCCAACGACTTTTTTCTGTATGATAACTGTTCGAAAGAGTCCCCAAAAATTTTCTAATGAGAGTACGGTTACTCCCTGTCCTTTAACTTTCGACCAGTCATCAAGCCTTGTCGTACTGAACAGTCTCGGATGAGACGAAAATGCTACCTAAAACGTTCGAGACGACTGAATTTCCCCTTGGACATTTTTAGGGAGGCTTCAAATATTAATTAACCAAACAGGCAACTAAACCATTTGAGATAATTCTGATTTATTTGGAAACATTTCGTCATTGGGTGCCTCTGTTTCTTGCGGAAATGAGGCTGACTGACACTGAGTTACTATACCGTAAAATTCCGAAAATAAGCCCCGGGGCTTATATTTTTCAAAGGCCCTTTTTGAGGGGCTTATTTTTGGAGGGGCTTATATTCGGAGGGGCTTATGTACGGAAGGAAATTTGCGTTTCAAAATTGGTTGGGCTAGAGGAAATTTACCATTTTTGTTTTGTTTTACTTTGTATTCGAGGGAAAATTCCAAGTACAAGGCCCCCGGGGGACTTATATTCGGAGGGGCGATTTAACGGAGGGTTTTTTGCGTTACGATTTTGGGGGGCTTATATTTGGAGGAGCTTATACATGGAGCGGCTTCTTTTCGGAATTTTACGGTACCTTATGTTTCCAAGTCAGTCCTAAGTACTCATCCAAATCGACAACTCACATAGGTCATTTCTTTTCATTCCCTACTAGCAGAGGTCTCTCATTTTTCGCCACGTCGTGAGAGAATTCTATGTAGCGGGGAATGCTTTTCAAATATGAAAAGTAAAAATGAAATCTCTTTAATTTTTTTGGTACTCAGTTTAGTTTCACTTTATAGAGTTCGAGATCGTAGCTGGACAAATTTCAGAAATTTACAATGAATAGATCATTTAGAGTCCGTATTCATTTAAAACCTCGGGAACTAAATTGATTTCGGCAAATGCCGTTTTAAATTTCAGTAATAACGGTAACTTGCAATGCAAGAAGTAGAGCCTAGTATAATGACAGTTTCTTACATGTTTGATACAACTGTTACTTATGATGATTAAAAATTTCTCTGGTTGCTGTTTTTCAACTATCATCTATCAGATCGACTTTTCTTCCCTCACTCAGCTGAAAACCATTTACATTTAAAATTTACTTGCAAAAAGGTTTAAAAATTCACTTTTAAAGCTGTGCTGCATCACTGACTAATTAAAAGCATGTCATGACTTATTTTCGCTTTCAATGCGTCATCGCCGATGGTGGAGTATGCCAATTCGCCGATAGAGAAAAGGACCCCTTATATAGCCCACATATGGCTATACTTAGAAAATATACCATTTTAGTTTCGTTTTCCACGATACCTCAACATGGGATACCATTGTTTGTAATATTGATGTATTTTCGGGCGCAAGACTAGAAATTACCAGAAGTCGAACATAGATTAATTATATATTACGATACGTGCTGAAAGCAAAGGAGAGAGATAAAAAACTGAAATACGAAATATTGTTTTTTTCTGCTCATGTAATGGGATAGAATAACATTTCTTCTGTTAATCCGATTGAATATGTCAAAAAAATAATAAACTGATTCTATGAAAGAATTATACATTCTATTTTTGAATACCTGTTTAGAGCAGCCGTGGAGATATTCTCTTCGCTTCCACAGTCTCCTTTGGCTCTCCCAGCGAGAAATTAAATATTGTTTTTAGTTCACGGCGTCATTTGTTCCACCAGGCGCGCACTAACGTTCAGTGCTCGCAGGCAAATACGAAAGAGGCAGAAAAATTGGTCAGGAACTGCTAAGAAGTATATTGATCCCGTTTTTTAGCGGCGATCGAAAAACTCAGTCACGAGTAATTTTTATATTTTTTGTTATTATTATGTAAATTTATGGTCACTTCCACCTGACGCGTGTGGCATAAAAACAATGGTAGTTAAAACATCATGAAATGTATTTATGCCCAAACCAAGGGTGCCCATAGAGTGGTTCTTTTTTCCCTCTTGGGATCATCAGTATTGTTTTACACCGGCCTTGAATATTTTCTAATCTGGCATAACGTATAAAAAGTGGGCACCTTTGTTGAGCCTTTATTTTGAAGGCTTCAACTTCCTGTAAAAAAATAATAAGGGAAAAAGGATTGTCATTTTACAGGATGTTTTTAACATAGATTTCACTGAAACTGTTTGTACGAGTGTAGTAGGTTCATATCCGTTAAATCTCTGACCCAGAAAAGAGATTTTAAAGTATACTTACTTTATCCTAGTGAACATCAACATCTTACAATCCATCATGGACTGCGCGCTGCCTGGCCTTGCTCGATCCTTCCTTTTTTTTTTTTTTTAAAAAAAAAAGAGGACTCGATGTCTTTTGAAGAGGAGTCGGCATGTTTAATTTCTAGAGAGGACAGTAGATTTAGCCAGCGAAGATCAGCGTTTTCTTGTCTAGTGCTTAGGCCTCATTTCGGCCGTTCGTCTCGGATACTTCATCAAAATGCATTGACGGAGAAGGCCTGGGAAGACGACGTACAGGTACGAGGCAAGTTTCATTCCTCTAAAAAAGTTTCATTCCAGGTCAATCTGAAAACATTTCATTTAATTTAACGGATGTAGCTCGAAACAGTTCCGGGGACACGCAGAGTTTTGTTTTACTCCCAACCTAACCGGTTTCCCGAGTAGTATTCTCGCGGGTGGCTTGATAAAATTTCAGTGACCCTCGTTGTGTTTCTTTTCATTTATGACGCTGGGAGACCCTAGTCTTTTCTTGCGTCTTCCCGCCGGCCACCCCAGCCTGGAGGCGTCTCCATCACCGTAGTTAGTTAAGGAGACTGGTAATGAAAGCCGGCAAACACCGAAGTCGAAAACAATGGTGCTGTAGTTTATGTTGGAAGCTCGCTGACTGTGCACAATCCTTTGTTTTCTGTTCACAAATTGTGACTGAATAAATCAATGCGATGTTTCTGTTGGTCAGTAAGTTCAAAATGATAGGAATGCTATTAAACGTTGTACAAAATCAGGTCCAAAAGAGCTAGCAAGAAGTCTCACGGGTTTCACAACCATTCCACTTTAATAACTATGCTATCACGAAAGCACATTTCTGAAAACCTCTTTCTCATGATCGGGAAGAGAGTGAATTCTGGGAACGAGGTTGCTTTCCTGAATCAGGAAATTGCCTGAATGGAGTGGCCCACCACTAGTATTGTGACGAAGCCATCTCCTTTGTTCGTAGATCCGTGTTCTTTAGACAGCAGCCGATCGGCTTCAACGAATGGCAAAATCGGAGGAGACCATAGCCTGAGAAAAAAGCCGACATTTGCGTCATCGCCACTGGTTTCCCCGTGAAATGACGTCTGAGAAACGAGTGCAGAAATTCCATACTGATGACGTGTCATTACCCAGATGTGGCTGACACGCGTGAAAAACGCAGTGCGCATGCCTTCAAAATTATACGCGATACCAAAACAAACTAGATTCCGGCCGCGAAATTCAAAAAAGTAAGCTTCACACACAAAAGATAAGCTTAGAATTTCACGAACACAAAGTTTATTAATTGCTTTAGTTTCTCTCTTTTGCACCACATACTTTCCTCCTTGCACCAAAGGCGAAAATCATGTTTGAAAGTCCACGCTCGCTTCATCATGTTGCTGAGCTCGGTCAATGCGAACAACGAAAACGACCAATGCATGCTAAGTGGAAAAACAAGGACGGAAAAACCTTGTACTGGACGACTTTACCAGTTAGTTAGTTAAGTTAGTTTAAGTAATTTTTTTGTTGTGCTTAATACTAGAACCGGCTGCAAACCATTAAACATATCAAACATTCCTAAATGTTTTTCAATTTAAATGGGGAAGATTTTGCAAATTTTAAAATTATTGAAAATAGAGACCTTGCGCATGCGCAGACGTTTTGCACGCGTGCCGATGTGGCTGGTTGAAGCAAATTTCCAGCCAATCAGATCCCGGTAGTGACGCGTCATCGGTATGGAATTTCTGCGATCGTTTCTCAGACGTTATTTCGAGGGGGAACCAGTGTTGGCGTCGTGGAATGTCGGCTGTTTTCTTAGGGTAGGAAAAACACCGCATTTGGCTTGAAACAATAATGTACATGAAGTTGAAGCGGACAGATTTACGTAGGCAATTTGCCGGCGTTTTCTGCATTGTTTCTCCATTTTGTTTCGTTTGTTGTAATTTTTTTTTCCAGTTACGCACATGCCTAATGGCGTAATGGTACAGAGTTTCAGAGAAGTGAACATTATTTTTTCTTCAAAGTGGATCTCAGTACATCACTAAATGAGACGCCTGAAAACTGAACGTTGGTCATCATTGCTCACACCTTTTAAAATACTTCTAAAGAATAAAACAATACTTCCCTTGTTTTTGTTTTCGAAAGGCCATTTTGTGCGTAGCTTCCATGAAATGTTGGGAAAATTCTCGTCCCTTGAAACTGCCTTAATGCAGTTTCAACAGTTACAAATGCGACCAAATATTAACCCCTTAAAAACAACTTCTTGACCCCTGCACTCTAACATTCCGCTCTACACAACTAAAAAATCTCTTCCATCACGAAATGCCAAGGCACTTTATTATTTTATGGAATTTTTAAGTACAACTTGGCCCAGTAAAATTCATGCAATGTTTTCCAGATGAGACGACTGTTGTTTAACAACCACGCCCAACCTTAAAATATTTCTTTGTAATTTTTCGTTCAAAGAAAACGTCAATAAGAGAAACAAAACGTGGACCTAACTTTGCTATGAAAGGTGCAATTTTTCTTGTTTTAAAATTCTTTAAACCCCATTCAATATCCGTTTCAAATCCCGCTCATAATTTCTCTCGTTGTTAATCCATTAAAATAATTAAATTTAACTTACAGCATTTAAGCTTCTACTTACAGCAAATATCTTGTTAAAATTAAATTCATGCAAAAACCAGCCCTAAGCTCAAATATGTACTTTTAAATTTGTAACAACACAAAATTCGACATAGAATAATACTTATTGCCTAGTAAGCTCCACAAAAGTCTGCTACACAGCCGTTTTTAGTGTCGTCACGCAACGTTCCTCCCCATAAGGGGAAACGGCTGTGTAGCAGACTAGCTCCACAACTGCCCAAAACAAAAAGAGAATATGAGTGAGTGTGTGAAAGATAGAGGAAATGAGGCCACAAGTCGTTGTATGTGACAGTGAAAGAAGACCAGAATGACAATTTGAAGTTCTGTTGAATGTAAACTATGTCAGTTCCTAATTTCTAAGACCGGCAATTCATTGACCTTCAATGATTCAATTTTTGTTGGATTTTGCATAACCAGAAATCAACAGAACATAAGTACAAGTACAAAAAATGTGGCCTAAAAAGTTGACAACATTTGAAATGTTTGAAAAAGTACGAGAACCCAAAGAGAGGGAGACTGACAGGCAGAGCTTTGCAACCATGGCCAGGTTGTTCGAAGCTGGGTTAAGATAACCCAGGGTTAGTGCGACATTTGAACTCAGATATGATAGCTTAAAAAGCAAATTCAGTTCAATTCTCTTTGCTTACAATTTGATGATTGGATACTTGAAAAAGAATCAAGAAAATAATCCGAGAGAGTACTTTTGACAAAAGAAAAAGAAACCCGAGATAAAATTTAACCCCTGGTTAGCGCTAACTAGCGTTCGAACAACTGGGCCCATGAGGAGAGACTTACAACTGGTTATCTAGGTTTTAAGAAAATGACGGTGTTTGTTTCTCTTGCATTAAATAAATTAACCCCATCCCATTTTGAATCCGGACTAACATTTGAAACGTCTTCTTCAAAGCTTTGAAGAAAAACTTCTCAGACAGGCATTCTCTCAACTACAAGGCCTAAATGACAAGGGACAAAAAGAGCAACCCACATCCCATGTGCAAATTCCAATATATACACAAAATAGCATTTTGGTTTAAATATTATACAGTACTTTATGCTTGCAGCCTTATCTCAGGCTTAATATCATACTCTCTATTCAATAGTCTGTATTTTCTTCAAATAAATTATCTGTTTTCTCAGTAGACATAGTAGAAATTTGAAGCTGCTCCAGGGTTCAAATAGCTTTCCAGATGCCGCGACTGTTCCACAGCAGCTGTCACACGTTTATTGAAATCGCTGTAAAGTATGTCTCCACCTCTTGGAACTCGGTAGAGAAAACCATCCACATTCAGCATACACAGGCCCTTTCCATTCATTAGGAACTTGTCAGCAGTGACCTCTCTTATGCTGTACCTCTCTGTTGCCCATTTGAGCCACTCCATTACTTCCCATTTGTTCCACACTCTAGGATCTGACAATTGATAAAATAGTAGCGATTAGCTTTTAGTTCATACAGTTTATGCAAAGTTGAACCTCTTGATTAAGTGGCCATCCTAGGGGCATCAGCAGTGGCCGCTAAATGGAGGTTGGCTACGCAAATATAGAGTTTTGTCATAAATTAGCATAATAATTAGCAGAAACATCAGCTTATCTTAATACAAACATGCAATTAAAGGAGAAGTGTTACTGGTCCACATCCACAATTGATCATCACCGTCTAATCCCTGACTGTATATTCCTTCGTCATATTCATTAATAGATGAAGGTGATAACATTGAGAGAACTATCGGTTGCGATGGCTAAAATGTGTCAGTGGCCGCTCAATAGAAGTGGTCGCTTAATACAATGGAACCTCAATATAATGAACCTCTGTATAACGAAGTCCTTGGTATAGCGTACGTACAATATTCTTTACCCCAGTAACAGAAAAAAGTACGGAAAAGAACCTCGATATGATGAACAAATTTTGTCAGTGAGCCTGTTATATTGAGGTTCCATTGTCAGAGGTTTAATTTCCCATTCTTTTCTACAATTATTTTGGTACTTTGATCACAGCTGTACTGGCTGCTTAATAGAGGGTGGCCACTCAATGGGGGTTCTACTGTATGTGAACCAAACATAAAACTTTGTTGTACTAATATAAGAAAGAAAGGCTAACTAACTAACAAAATGTACAGCCTCGGTAATATTGAATGTACGTTAAAAAAGATATGTGCATCAACTATAAAACAGCACATACAAAGATCTAAAAAAATGCTGACACTGCAAGTTATTATCTAGTGATATTGTGCATTTATATGCCAAAAAGAATATGTCAGCATTTGATTTTTTTCAAAGGCTCATAATTTGTGCCATTAATATTATTTCACCCATTACACAACCAGACTTGAGATGAAATACATACCAGCTGGCACTCTGGGTTGCTCAAAATTGAATACATTATCCTCATCATCAATATCTGGCACAACACAGTCTTCTGAAGTTGAAGTGCTACCTTTCTTTCTTGTTGGAGACGGGATGTCTGAGTAAAAAGACAGATCAACATGAGAAAGAGGAAAAGAGAAACTTAATATTAGCTGGGTAAAGAGCTTTGCCATCTTTGCCTTAGCAGTGACCAGGAGATGTCGCACAGGATCACAAACAAACTCTCATCCTTTTTCAAACACGTCTCCCAACTACATTTACTATGAAAGCTATATGTATATGACAAATAAGGAGAACATCTATAAAGGGTTGTTATTACTCAAGAAAATAAAATAGTCAAATACAAAACTGGGCAGGCCTTCTTTTGCATTCTGCATCTAGGGGACTAGCCTTGCACACAAGGTTTTCATTGACTCCCAGCAACTGACTAAAAAGCAGCTGCTTCTGATAAATTTTCAGCCGCCTACTATTTTTGGTACCATGAGAGGTGGAAGCATGCAGTTCCCTTTGCACTTGACTGGCAATCCGCCTACTCTTACATCTTAGCTGTCTACTTGAAAACTTAATGAGAACCTTGTGCATGAAACTATTAGCTGGGGTATGCCTGGGTGAACAATCGAGGAGGGAGTGGGGGGCTAAAAACATTCACCACTGATAAAAGTTTACACAGTAATTCTTAAGGCAATAGCTCTTCTTTACAAATAACACTTTTCTTTTTGTAAGTACCATTGAGATCACTTGACTAAATTCTGTTTTGAATTTATGAGAAGGACAAGAGATGTAGTGATAAGGGCTTCCACTTAAATATATTCTTCATATGAGCTTCTACATGGAAAGAAATGGCTGCAATATCACTTGGTTCTTCTTCAATTAAAACTTAAATGACAGTGTGTGGGAAAAGTTTTAAGATACCATTGAACCTGATAGAGACAATTTTGCTCTAGTCAATTTAAGGTGTAGATGTACCAAGTGTCAATAAAGCAATAAATTATTCTGAGACACTAGATGCATTAATTACCAAAAAGAAACGTCTTATTTAATGCTATAGTGCATGGTTCTCACACACACAGACGCTCTACTTAGCCGACTGGGCCAGATTATTTGATTGCTGATTATTACTGATCTGTGGTTAAATGAATTCAAGATCTTTTGTTGTTGCTGTTGTTCAAAAGCATTTTCCCTGTCAGTGTCTTTTCTTTTATTAGTTTGAAAGCATTTTCCTCGTCACTGTAACTGGTCATTTTAGAGCGTCCACAAGTGCCAAATTGTAGGCAATAAGAATTTACAGGAATTTGCTTCATAATGTACCGATTTGAATTGAATTTGTGTGCTAATCCTGGGTTATTTTAATCCTGCTTTGAAAACCCCAACATAAGAGGACCAGTTGTGGTCTTTGCCCTCTTCATAATACTGAACTAATTACTTACAGTGTATTAATCTTGTGGTTAAAAAATTTCTAGGTTCCTTTATATGTGTAGCCTACATATTTTTGTAAATGATCAGAGGTCACTTCATCAGCCATTGGTTTACATGGTACATAGCACTTTTATAGAACAAAAGAGGATCCTTAAGAATCTGTGAAGAGGAACAAGTTTCTAAGGACGGAACCTGTATTGATACTAGTCTTGAATTTTCACGTCATTAATCTTCTATCCTATATACACACTTAACTAATATTGATTGATGTTAAAACAGGTTGTTCTTTACGTCATTGGTGACGGCTGAATTGTAAGCACAAGCTAAATTTACTCTAGTGCACTGATAAGTGACTTTCTATGTTTATATTAAGTAACTGAGATTTATATTATTAGCAAGTAAATTTCTAGAGTTATGACCCTTAAAAGCACACACAGAGAAAGCAAGATAGAGTAATACAGGCTTGTCTCTCGTTCCATTTTCTTTTAACACAATTTGGTAAAAGCTGCAAGTAAATATAACCCAAATGTTCTCATAAAAGTCAATCTTGACTATTGTTGTAGGCATCGCAATAAATCTGACTCTTAATGTTAACTTCTAATGATAGATGGAGGCATTGTATCTTAGAGTTTAAGACATGCCACCCACTTGGTAATGAAATATTGCAGCTATTGTCATTCTGAGGAGAATATTATCACAACAGAGTTTTTTGATCTATGGCTCTCACTCCATAATGCACTTCAGCTGGTAAAATTTAACACCATACTTTCAGTCTACCTGTGCAAGGACATGACAAAATCCTGGGTTTGTTGGAGTTGAAAACCACCAACTATGAACTCATACAGAAAAACCAAGCACTTTTAGAGGAAGCTAAAAAGGTGCTTGTATCTCAGAAAGATTGCAACCTTTCAAACGCGAGTTAAAAACAATCGAAAGTAAAAATCGACCTTTCTGGACGTGTATTTTTTCATTTATTATTTAGTTAAAAGAAACAATAGCAATTAAAATGGAAATTTTAGAACAGACTACCCACACAAGATTAATTTGTTCTCAAGATGAAACATCACACGGTGTAAAAAAGATATTTCTCTAACATTAAAATCGACCTCAAGAAAGAACATTGGGAATTTATATGCCATTCTATTGTTCCTTTCAAAAATGTTATTACCAAAGTATTTTCCGACGCAAGCTACACGAGGCCGTCGACAACATTTGTCAAAATAAAATTTAGCAATCTACAACAGACTAAAAAGACGGGGTAAAAGTTTTCATCTACAGAATAAATAAAAAATAGAAATTATTACAGGTCACAAATCGCTGATGTGAAATCGTCAAAAACCGCAAATGACACAAATTTTTGTGGGCGTCTTGGAATAAATTTTCTTGAAGCGAGAACAAAAGTTCTTTGAAGTAACTAAGACCCAAAAAGCGTCATTTGCAAAAGACCCACGCAAATAACATTTACTTTCGAAAAGATTTAATTACGAGGAACATTCTCTATCGACAAACGATGATTTATTTTAAAATCACTTTCATTACAATAAAAGTAACAACGGAAGAAATTGACAACCTCGTTTCTGCCTCGTGTTTACTAATCTTTGGTATTATTCATGACATGAAGATCACGTTAGGAAAGATGACTTCCTGACCATTAGGTGGAACACAATTAAAAATGAACACAAAGATACATTTACCTTGAAAATTCACCCGAATATCAACTTGGGCATCTTCTTGTACATTCTGCTGCCCCAGTGTAAGATTATCTTGCAGCTGGTGATAAAACATCAACGAATATTGATCAAGAAAGCAGAAAATAGATGGCCCTGGGTGGTGAAATTTATTCCTCACACAATACCGAAATGCACAAAGCACTGCTCAGTCACGTTTTAATATTTAGCTGGCAAAATCGTCATGTGTACAAGAGCATTGCAACATTTATGTCAGATCTCAGCTGTTCCAAAAAACGACTGCGTTGCAGGGAATTTCGCCGCTATCGCTTTGACCGCAAAATCCTAGGCTTCTGAATAGTTTCAAATCAACTTCTTTGTGGCCGAAACCGACAATGGAAAGTAATGAAATTGACACAACGCTTTCAACAGAAATTCATTTAGCAGCTTACAAGTTCCGATAGATTAGAAAGTACACTTGATCCTAGAATGACGAATTGAAGCAAAAATCGCTAAAGCGTGCACTAATGCCGACAGCGTGACTAGAGATCAATGCACGCGTGTTCCATGTTGTCTCGCGCGGAGAGTATGAAAGAATTCCACATCATCAGTCAGTTTCTAGAAAATACCTCAAACTCGGATATTTACCGGATTTCCATGAAAGAAAACCTCTTGCTCTCCAACAGTAAAACCCTCTTGTGCCTCTATCATCTGTTTGAGTCTAAACACTGTCAGAGAGAGATGAATTCGCAAAGGGAACGGAATTCGCGGCGTTCCATCGTCGACCAGAACACTACGGAGAGGGGAACAAATATGGAACTTAGCCAATATGCTCAAAGGCCAAGTCACAACATGAACCCATTGGACTTGGTTGAAATAAATCGTGAGAAAAAAGTGAGCTTTCTATTCAATACTCTTACCGTATTGTCACAGGATCGCTCATAGTCTCGTCACAATTTCAAATCGAAATTCGGAAATCAGAGCAAAGCAGTGTTGAGCAGACACCACTGCGGTGACGGAAAGCCGCACCGATTGTTCAAAGCGGCTTTTGCTCCGAAGCGAACTCACACTAAGCAAAAAACGCAATCGAACTCCAAAAATCAGCCACCTCTTATCAACAACTTCTCGAGGGGTAGATTTCGTGCCCTTCTGTCCTGTTCATAGCTGTTGCATACAAAGTTGTTTTATAATAGGAAATGAGGTCATGGCGCCGTATTTTATTCCTCTGCAGGCTATCACCATAGAAACATCAGACTGCATTAATGTCAGCTTCCCTTATTTGGTTGACAGCTCCTGACGACATTCGTAGGCATTCCAAATATAGGAAGCCGTTTTACGAGGTTTGCGTGCCGATGACGACACGCCTAGAGATCGGGTCACGAAGATCGCACGAAGAATGTCGAAAAATTTAGTGATGTTTATATAACGCAAGCTCGCCTCACAGAAGCGTTATTGGTCCCGTGGTGTAACGGTTAGCACTTGGGACTCTGAATCCCACGATCCGAGTTCAAATCTCGGCGGGACCTTATTTTTCTTTTTAATTTTCTCAATTTAGATCTTTCTTTCGGCCACTTTACTTTAATGGAATCTAGCAGACTTAGCATAGCCTCCAGTACAAAAAAGAATAAGAAAACTTAACATGAAAAATTGCGTGAGTGACACAAAAGGTGCACGTTGCAGTCACAATTAATTCTGTCCTATTTTTATCACAAACAAGTTAAATATAGAACTACCTTTACTGTGTGAACTTTAATTTATCAACAATAACTTTGTTTCCCATCCATATAATAATAGTAATGGAAACATCTGAGCACTTTTTTTTAATTTGCTACTCTGATTAAATTTTCTGATTTTGCCAATAGTAAGGAGTATCACGGTTCATAATAATGATGTTATTATTAAAGCACAGACGACACCGAATCAGGGAATTTTTGCAGGAACACGTTATATAAATTTCCCGGGAAAAAACCTCAAGCACACCAAGCCAGAACGTTTTCCGTTGTATAATACTTTTTTTTATTATTTACAAAACTTTGGCGTAGTACGTAGAACGCATAATTTAACGAGCGATTTATCTTAATCGAAATTTTTAACCCACACAAACTAACAATTTATCGTCCAGAAGTTGTTTCCTTTCGTGGAAGTGTTTTGGCATCCACAGTACAAACTTAAATATAGAGACCAAGATGTCACCAGTTTACTTGGATACTAGTCTAATCTAAAAGCTTCCGTTATTAAACGTGTAATTTGTTTCTTCCTCCACCTAATTGAAACAGGCCTAAGGTAAGTATCTCAGGCTTTTAATGCAAATACCACACTAATTCACATCATATAAAAAAAGGGGGGGGGGTGGGGGGAATCAAATCCTATACATAAATTTTTTATAAGACTGAACAGAAATAGTACGGGGATGTGACAAATTTCAGGACACTGAAGAAGTGAAAGGAAAGGAAAGTCGCCGATGTTTTTTCTTCTAAAATCTACTGATCTGAGCACGCACGAACGAAGCTTCAAAACTGCTGGAAAAAGACCTTAAAATACACAAAGCTTTAAGCTTCTGATCTTCTTAGATGTAGAGATAGGGAACAAGACTAAAATTATATCCTGACTGTATGGCAACTTAAAGGTTTTCAACGCAAACTGCTTTCGAAGGTTGCCCCGCTCTGAGAATCAAATTATTATTTCAAGGAAAACCGTCAAGAGTGTCAAGCATTGGAAATTTTACCAACAAAGATCAGCTATCATGTTTAATGCAGCACTGAAGATACTTAGTTTCTTCCAAACGTTTCCGCCTTTGAATGGCGAATTTATGACAAAGGCAACAAAAGCTGTCGTGTATAATGCATCGCTAAAACCCTTGTTTTCCCAAACGTTTCCGCTTTTAACTGGTCGGAAATGCTTAAGCTTCATGTTAATCTACTGTGAACGTCGAAATCGATTGGCATTCTCTTTGGTAGAACTCAGCGGAGACTCAATAATAAAAGATGCAATCAAAGATATCAGTTGTAAAATGGTGTAAGAAGTTTTACTCGCATTTCTCATCAGCGACCCTCTTTGCGTTTGATAACCAGCGGTAGAAATGACACTGTTCTGTTGTACCTTGGTACAATTATGAGTTCGAGTATTCGCTTTACCGCTATAATCGTCACGCCCGCGATGTGGAATCCGACCGCGGATAAGAATTTCCGATGCAGGCTTTTATCCGTTCTCTTTGTGCACTTCAGCGCAGGAATAGTGGAATGCTAACGGAATTTCGTAGAGATGTTCATCTTGACGCAAGTAACTACTTGGCCTTTTTGGCTTTGAGAAGAGAGTTCTTCAGAGCCATCTGTAAGAGAAAAAGGAATAAAAGTTAATACGTCCTAGTTAAAAAGCAAGTCGTAGGGAACAGAATTGGACAATGCCTCACAAACCCCTTTTTGACTCTAAAGGGAGAGACTTACGAAAATATGCACTCTCGAAAAAAAATTATGAAAAACAACAGATGACGGAGTGAAGAAAATAAATGATAAAGTGAAATGAAATTTTTTTTCTGCAATTGTTGCCCTAAATCTAATACTATCTCCCATGCACCATATTCTTCTAAAATCTCAAACTTAAGATTTCATTCTAAAGGCACAAGATTCAGAGAAGTTTATGATATCGTGTTCAATTAAGAAGACAAGTAGATTGAAATTTTAGTACCCTCTCGCCAACTGACGTGAGTGATTGCCACACAGGGAGATAGGTGAATCCTAGCAGGGTGCAGGATGGGTGCCACAGAAGAACCTTTTCTAAACGGAAGACCTTAGATAACAACGACCTCAACCAGGTTGTGGCGTCCAGCGGTTTTAGTGAAGACAAGGATTTGGGTGGAGTGCTCAGTCTCGCGGGCTCTTAAAACCCGGTCTCGGTCGTTCTTATAGAAGGATTTTCTTTCTAAACGGCCTCGCACGCCTTTCGTGGCTCAGAGTCTGCAGCATTGGACCGTGGGTTGAGAGGCTATGGCGTACACCCAAGGTCTTTGTTGGTTTGCACTAGTGACCAGATGCATGGTACACTATCCTCACAACGTTTGCAAATGCCCCTGAATGTTTGCTTCACATGTACCCAAGAAAGCGCAAATTAACGAGGTCGGGAATTGAAAACAGTTCTTAGATAAACTCATTATAGCATGAAGCCGTGGTACAGAACAAGCAAGGTGTTTGTCGGCACAAGCAATGCTAGAAAATCTTCCATTGGGCTCACGGGGGCACACTCTTTTTTTTGAGTTATGAGACTCCCCTAAATATAACGGAAGCTAAGGGCACTAACCTGTTTGTCTCGGAATGAACGTTTATTTTTGCCCCTAACATCTCTATTATGTCGCATCATCATAAAGTTCTTCTTCCTTCTTTTCTCCTACAAGAAGAACGTTGCTTGTCATACAAAAGTGAAATTAAGTGAAAAGTAATTGAGGAGGTTACAAACCTGCATCTTCATCAATCAATCAATCAATTGATCGATCGATCGATCAATCAAACAATCAAAGTTCAGTAAAAGAGTCTGCTGCCTATTGCTCCTTTTCCCTGCATGCCCCTCCCCCTCCTTGAGAAAAGTTTCTAAAAGTCTGCTTAAAAGTCTGCTTAACCAATAGATGAATAAATCAAAACTACACTTAGTTTACATATTTTCTCTGCTTAGTTACCGTATATACGTGAGGAACACATTATGTTACTTGACGAATCTTTTCAGTTATTTTGTTAACTTACTAACAATAGCGCAAACAAAAGCCCAAATGACGAGTATCGATAAACTATACTACCGTACTAAGCACTTCTGTGTGTTAGCTAATACCTTCCATTGCGCTTTCGTCAAGAAGTGTTCCTGCACATGTCTTTTTGGTTAAAGTTTCATGATAAGAGAGCGGTTCAAGGTGAACAACAAGTCAACAAACAAGAAAGAATAAACAATCAAGCACAACAATATATATTCACCGTCATGGTGACAAGTTAAGGTGCTAGCCTTCAGAAGCGCAAGAAAATTTCCTTCATTAACTAATACCAATCCTCTGTTGAAAGCAAGAACTTTACTTACCTTATTCGTGGAACTGGCAAATTCATTAATCCGTTTCTTTGTTGCTTTCTTTGAGCTAAACTTTTCTCTGTCTTGTCTACCAGCCTGGCAAGATATAAGAGGCTGTGTCTTAAAGGCAACAACTGGGAGTGGTACGAATAACAAGGCGTGTACCAGCTTTCCTAACCTCACAAGCCAATTGGTCTGCAACCCTGACCGTAAAACGACGGAAATATTGATGAGCAATGCTGTGTTATTGTTTTCTGCGACAAATGAGGAGAAACCTTACGAGCAGCTGCTACAGTTAGCTACAGTTCTGGAATGACTTGGAGTCGTCTGTGACTCAGTTTTGGGTCCCTGGACGAAAACAGGGGAGACCGTTCGTATACTACCATTTGCATTTACAGCAATGTAAAATTTATGGTTTTACGTGCAAATTGGGGACCCACTGTAGCGGAAGGGGGCAAGGTACTGTGCGCTTGAAAGTGGTATAGTCTTTAAGTGGCGACACTGTAAAGAGAGACTCAGTCAGCGAGGCAGTTTTTCTTCTGATTCGCAAACTACGCAAATCACAGTGTCGCCACCGAAAGACTGTACCAAATCACAATCACTTTTGGCATCTTTAGTCTTTTTTCTTAGTTCAATAACAAACAATGTCTACACTTTCGCTTGTGGAAGTGATTTGCTCGGTTTTTAGGGGGTTTTAAGGCGGCTCTAAATGTCTAGGCAAAACAATTCCAAGTAATACGTTTACAGTAACAACAGGAATTAACTTTTTTTACAATCCACGTTTGTTGTTGTTGTTGTTGTTGTTTATGATTTAACCAGGAAAGAATTCAACTTACAAAAAGAAGGAAAGACGCCAGGGAAATCAAAGTGTCGTGACGTTTTCTACAGTATTGCCCTTTTAGTAGTGAGTTATAGAAGTAATTACGTCTAAACCTACGTCATTTTCATGTTATTATGTAGTCTTTTCTACTGCAGGAAATTATTACCTGAGCCAAATATCTGCAGCCACAAATTACTTTCACTACACACATACTGGGCAATTACGTAAGAACTACAATAGCTAGCTGAGAACGAGATTTTAGTGTCGAGGCCAATACAATAAATATGTTCAAAATTAAACTTTTAGCACGCAAAATAGTAACTCGGTCTGTCCCCAGAAATAAGACAGGCTTATGTTGGGTATTCGGGCGATCTTTTTGATAAGCAAGGTTAAACAAGACAAAATGCAAATTCATCAGTTACTGTGACTCCGAAACTCAACACTAGGGCCGGGATAAAAAATGCGAGACTTGAAGGCAGTGCCATTAAAAATACTGTTCCATAAACCACGTATGGAAGGCTGCTCAACAGTTCAAAGCAAAAAAACCCGGTTTTACAATTTGTTCCACAGGTACAAGACAAGAGTAATCTGGTGCGATAACACGAAACCAAAAGAAGATAGCTTTACTCTCAAAAGGAAAACATGACACAGTAATATCCCATGACTCGAAAGCAGACAACCACATGGCGTGAGAACGCGTGAGAACAACAGAGCCCCAGGGCATGGCTGCATGCATGCACTCACTTAAAATAAAGTGCAAAGTTTTATGCAAAGGACAATCACGCAAGGGTATGGACGTTAACTGGGCCGTAGGTGCCGGAATTATCAATCAGAATAAAAACAAATAGAGCTCCAAAAAATCCTTGGAAATAAAGGAAACGAATAGCGAAAAAACTCCCACTTATTTATCTTCATTTGCCCTTGCAATGGGGCCAAAGAGAGGAAAGTGAAACATATTTTTTAACTTGCGAATAGACCCTATATTAAACACACGCCAGCATTTCGTTACTTAATCGCCTGTTGACGCAAATTAGACAACTGGTTTGCGCTTGTCATGCTATTTATAAAAAAAAGTTCATGAGACACTGACTGGCCGGAACACTATATCACACAAGCGTTTGCTTTGTTTTGATATGAAGACCTACTCGATGCTCTTACGTGGTCTGAGGGCATTCGATTTCCATAGTCTCTGGGTACTCAAAGCAATACACACGCAACTTAAATGATTTTACTCAACAGGTGATCAATATCGAGAAAAAACTGCCAAACAGACGGGACGAAGAGGAGAGAGGAAATAAATTGTCTCGACAGGTCAAATTCCGCAAGGAAGACTTGTGTGAGGTCGCACGCTATCTTGAAAACAGTGCAAAAACTCAAAACTGTCTTTGGACTTTTTATAGTTGATTTCATTCACAACTTTGCACGTTAAAGTGTACCATTAGGAGTAAAGTAAGAACTGGGCCAATTTTTGAGTATATAAATGGATACAAATTGACTTGAAGGGGATAACAAAATGACTGGTAACTTAGCAGTTTACATCGTGGTCTACAAATAAGAAAAAAAAGGACAGGAACAAATAGTTTCGATTCAATAAACACGACAAGTAAGATTTTCAAAAGGCCGGAGGCAAACCACATGAGTTGGCTATTTACAAGCGTGACTGAGGATTCGAGAGGTCTAGCCTGCGCGGAGTGCCTGTAGCTGGCAATTTGTTCTGTCGAACTCGTGACTACTGGAAACAAATCCAGTCCATGGTCAGGGTGGAACTTGAACTCGGAACCTCCGGATTACAAGTCCAGCGCTCTAACCGCTCGGTCACGCTCCTTTCAAATAAAAATTCGACTCGCTTGGGCTGGAGCTCGAGGCAAACTTTGAATGATACACTGGAGGGATTTTGTACGATCACTCTCTCCCCCTCGCCTTTCTGGAGCCTCGTTAAAATCGGCGCTCGCGTTTGAGTTGTAATTATTGTGGTTCAATTTTATCCTTGGTTTAAACTATATTTCCCTTTGTTTTAAACTTATTATCATACACCACCATACCCCAAAACAAAGGGAAATAAAATCCAAGGATAAAATTGAACTACTGCTTTACTAAAGGAAAGCATTCTTCGGCAATAAAAAAGACGGTAATGCTTGAGCACAGAAAAGTACTCCTTTAGCTTATGTAACTTCGTCCACAGACTCAAGTGTACAGTCATAAATAACATCGTGTGGACGTATTACCAAAACTATTTCATTTGAATGGTCACAACACAGGATTTCGTACACGGACTACCTCAAGCTTAGGAGTGGAAGGGTTAATATCTGCGACCTAACTTGTTTACGGAAACTGCCAACCAGAAGACGAAACGATATGTCTAGTACCATATTTTCAAACTCTGTACATCGCAAACCAAGTCTTTGTACTTTGATGAAGTAGCTTACAATTCTCTTCTTATATAAACTAGACATTTTGATCTGGCAGTGTCTAAAGCTGTCAGTTGTTTAGATTTTTGGAAATACGGTTTGTCTTCGGTTTTAAGCAGGGGGGATTAGATGGATGAGGCCTCATAATTTTGAGAGAAAACTCAAAAGACAAACTTACTTAAAAGGGTTAATTCATCAAAAATGCACATTTTGCACCCAAACCTTTGGTAAAGTTGTGGGTTTACATTTGAACCTCGTCAATAAAAAATTGCATGCCAAAGCAGAACTGATTACATCGCTACTGTAAGGGTATTCTTTACAACCTTTGGCTGCTTTGGAAAATCCCTGATAACAGAAATAACGGATTTGAGCATCAAAAGACGGCTTGAGGCTAAAAAGAGACAGGATAGGTAAATTAAACACGGACGCGCCCGACAACAAACAGGTTGAGCCGACCCAACGCAGTCAACGGAATCCGCTTAGCTTTGTAAGATCTGATAAGCTCGGTTGCTTTTTAATTAGAGTTTTGAAACCAATATTCATCGCAAAATTCACTCAATCACTGAAGTATCTCTTCTCTCTTTGAGACTACATTAAATTCTTGTCATAAAGATCAACGAGTTGACGTTGGAATTTCATGACCTAACTCGCTTTGCAGCTATCTTAGGTTTCGGGAGTGTCTTTAAAACCCCATGATCTTGGAAAAGATAAGAAGATTTCGCGAGGTGCGTGCGTGCTGGCTAGCTATTTCCTGATCCCTGTTGACAGAATGACTTTCAATAGGAGGGCTTAGACCCCAGAGATCCTTAAATCAGTCTCAGTTCTAGGCAATTCCTATCGAGGTACCTTCCTTGTCGATAACAAACCTTCGTGAAACATGGAAGCGATATAACAAAAGTGAAGATGCCAAAGTAAAAACATTCACTGGACGCAAAAATGTTTTGACTGAAGTCACGGACGGCGCGAGTCGAAAGTTCCTCGGATACCATATCCTGTAAAGCGGAAATATTTTTACCTAGCAAATCAACAATTACAATAAACTAATCCATAAATGCTTTTAAACTTGATCATCCAATTTGCTTAAACGCAGGACGATGTTTCTGGTCAGTAATCTTCGATTTCAGATTTCAAAGGAGTGCTGTTGTTACAATTCAAACCAAAAACCTCACCGCAAAGGTTGCGTGTTAAACGCGAGACTCGCACGCAATGTCACGTAATTAATGTTGTGAGGCTAAAAACGGATCATTACGTAACTGACAAGTGTTTACTTCAAATGACTTCCTTTGTAGCGACAGGGGAAGACAAACCGTGTTCCTGTCAACGTGACTGCATTTTGCTCCACAAAACTGCCTAAAAAAGGATTACTGAGAACGTAACGGTACATGAGGCCTGCAACTCCAGCAAAATGCAATTTGCTCGCTGTTAACTTTCCCCCTAATAAGTGTACGGATAAAACGCGTGTGGATCCCGCGCGCATTCACGCGCGTTTTTCACGAAAGACCAACATGCGTGAAGTATTTGTCGTCTCAAAAAGGAAGTTATTAGTATGGTTGATGAATTTCCCTTTTAAGATATTATCGAAAGCGGGTTGTAATATAAACAAGAATGGGCGATACATGAAAAGTTACATGAAAGTGATTTCCGTTGGCAACTTTGCACTGATAAGAAGGTCTCAGAATGTTCCCGGTCAGGTGCATGCGGGCTACCTATGGACGTGATGTTATTCCAGTTGGCATCGTCACGCATCAGAGGGGAGACAAAAAGTCGGCGTAAGGTGTAATGCGCCTGCCTACGTCAAAAAGGGGACATTTACGGATCAAGAGTTATATTACAGTGCATGATTTTGTGCATGCCTTGTAAACACATCAAACCGTTAAAGGGAGAGATAAAGTTTGAAGCGTGACTTAAGAGACAAACAAACAAACAAACAAACCAATAATACGCAATTTGGTGTACGAATGAGAGTTGTGAATAAACCTTACAGGCCTTTTTACCCTTGGCAGGGAATATCCCCCGTTTCCCATAATTTTTTGATGGCCCCATTTGTATTGAAAAAAAATCTTGGAGTTGTTCTTTACCGTTCTCTGGAAATTTAGGGTCGGTTACAAGAACCCGACGTTTAGCCATTGCCAAAAAGAGTGCGCTCAAAGTCGTTTTTAATATTTCTCCAATCCGAACATCAAACATTGTTTCTATTATAGTGATAAACGTCTATGAGGCATAGTGAACGCTAAAAAAATTTCCTTAAATAAACCGCCTAATAGCAAATTTAGCGGTTTACTGAACTTGGGCGTCGTTAAAATGACCGACCTTTATTGTGGCTACAGTCCTCCTCGAAGTTGAACATCAGTGGCTGTATGGTCATGATTTGATAATTTCACTGTTTTGTCTGTGCATAAACTCTAATACAAAAAAACCTGGGCAAGATAACAGAAGGACTTCCGTTTCGACTGAAAATGAATGAACTATCAAATTAAAATGAAGTCAACAAATAAGAAAGGTAGCCTTCCTCTGTTTGTGTGGGTGCCCTGTGTGTGTGGTCGTGAGACATTCGTGTCAAGATAGAGTGGTTTTCGTTTGAGTGTCGTAAAACCAAAACCAAAGTAATTACTCTGGCCAATCACATAGGACACAGACAATACATTGAACCAATCAAAACTCGAAGTAATTACATGTGGCTGACGCAAATAAGCGCGGGAAAATGCATGCGAGCGCGTCACAATTGGCTTTGGTTTTACTTCTGATTGGATGAAAAGGTGGCGCGAATCTTTTAAGCCAATCGCATCGTGTAAAAAGTGCAAAACCAATTACTTTTCGACAGTCAAATGAAAACCGCTCTATATATGTTGCACATGACTCCCAGGATTACGTCTTTAAGCTGGTCTTGCGTGTGTCCCGCTCTGACTAAGTTCACTGTAACCAAGCAAGGCGGAGAGCTAGAGCTAGTCCCGCTAGTCCGGAGGTTGTCCCGCTCGGACAAAGTTTCCGGTCTACGATTTAGAGCTGGACACGATACCCGCTAAAACAAAATTCATGGTAACACGGTCAAACTAAGTTCGAAGTTGTCTCTCTCGGAGAAAGTTTACTGTATTATTATAACCGAGAGGGCAGTTAGTAGTGGGCCAGATGATCTCCCGCTCAGAGCTACAATTTTGGACAGGAAAGGAAAAGAAAAGGTAATCCCCCCTTTTCCCCAAAAACTAATGAGTAAGTCTTGCAAAGGCCAAAACACACCACTTTCCCACTGACCTTTGACTTGAGGGTAGGAGAGGTCTTAGTTTTCCGTCTACTTTGTCCAAGATTGCAGTAAGTACAAAGAAAACGCAATCTTTCCAACCCCAATCCAAATCAAGGATGGAGGCGCAAAGGCCGAAATGGGCCAACCTTGACTTGGGGAGGGGTGAATGTGGTGCCGAAGTAGCTGGTGTGCGGGGGGCGGGCTGGTCCAGGGTGTATTCTAGTTAGGGACATTTCACCCTGTACACTCGGTGCAGCTCTACTCGTCTCAACTTAGCAGAATACAGAAGCCAATATACTCACAAGTACAGTCTCCAATCGTGATTCCTTGTCATGTCTTCTCTTCTTGTGAATGTTTTCAATGTCTCTTAGAGATATTAGCTCCCCCCTATTAAAAAGTGAATTAATAATAATAGTAATAACAACACTAGTGATAAATATAATAAATACACGAAGAAAAAGAAATTTGAAAAAGTCTGTAGAATGACAAGATTTGTGGTAGAAGTATTCTTCCATAGGAAATCCGCTAAAAAGACTTGTATTCAATCTATCTGAATTGTAGTTTCTAGAATATATCTAACGTTCCCTACCGTAAAGAAGTACTAAACATTGCTTTACAATGCAACAATTACCGCAAAAAGTAAGCTAAACCTTACCCCCAACCCCCCCCCCGGCACAGTACACAAATCTCTCACTAAAATCTCCCCTCTACTTCCCCTTCTCAACACAACACACACACAAACGGTAAACACAAGTCTCCTAAATCTCCAAGAAAGATTAAGTCGATCAGAACAATGGCCTAGGGAAGCAAATCATTGCTGGGAGTTTTGCATACCTCCTCTTCTCAACACAACACACACAAACTGTAACTTAACACCCACATCCCATACATCGCCATATACACTTTGTTTAAAGGCACGCTTCACAATACACAGTAGAGATTTAAGCTTTGTGAGGGAAGAGGCAGGGGAACAAAGGACGCGTTCCAACAAGTTTTGTCCAAACTTACAGATTAGCCAGTCAAGTAACAAGAATATTGGATTTTCTATACGAGACTGAGAGTAAAAGTACAGACCTTTCCGAGGGTTCTGTATGATCAGCACCTCTTTTTCGCTTCTTTCCAGCTTTAGGGTCAATCTGACGAACCGCTTCTCGTAGCCGAATCTTTTTGAAATCCTCATCTGTAAGAAACTGAAACAAATAAGCACAGTCAGTATGGTGGATAACGTTTTTAACTGATATACAGTGATTCTTAATCATATACATGTCATAAAACGGTAAAAACGAACGATAAAATCCGACGTTTCGGAGTAGTCATAACTCCATTATCAAAGGAAAAATGTTTTTGATCATGCAAATTACAGCATTTAAAGCGACGTGGCGCGAAAATTAACGTAACAGGGTGCGAAGATTACGAAAATACTTTCGCACGAATAGTCTCATTGCACGTTGAGATTTGGTTTTAAGCTTCTTATGAAAAGCATTTCGTACACTAAACAGCCAAATTTGTTCCTGCATTTCTTAAGCACTTCAAAACGTTTCAGCAGGTCCTGAGGGATCGCCCCGTGCACGTTCTTGTAATGTTTGGCAATGGCGGAGGACTGTTGTTTATGTCCTTTGACACGATTGTGCAAATGTTCGCGTATGTAACCTACATATCCTGCATCACAGAGGTCACATTGGAAGTTATAAACTACACACTGTTCATTTACGATCGGCGGCTTTGCTTCTTCTAGGAGTTTTTAAAACATATACATGTCAGTGACTTCTCAAAAATTTCTAGTTCAGTTGACACAAGAGAGACACTAGATACTGGCTAGTAAAGCGTCCGTACAGATAAAGAGAGGTGGATATCCAACACCATGCTGCCGTAACTGGAGAGCCAGTTTAACTTTGCCATGAGAAATAAAACTTTTAACTTACGCGGGTCTGACTTATCCTCGCCGCTTTAGCGTTCAAATCTTCCTCTGCCTCTTCATTCTCATCGTTACTTTCACCTTCTTCAATCTACCCAAGAAAAAGCCCAAATGTTCAGTAAAGAACGAGCTCAAACTAGGTTAAAAAATCGGTGAATAAGTAAGACTGTTTACAGTCCTCTCTTTTCCTCGTAAAATCGTTGAGATCGAATTCTTACAGTTACGGGCTGCCACTTTTGGTTTCAAATCTTCCTTCCCACCCCTACAGCACCCCCCCCCCCCCCCTCACCCAAAACACCCTCACTAAGATTTGATACTCATCCCCCAGTCGGTATATTTACACCCACGATGCCGCCTGTAGGGTAACTACTTGGGGGACCGATGATCTTATGGAATTATAGGAACCGATGAACGGTCTGAATAAGTCAACATTAGTTAGCGCGGAAACCCGCGGGACCGTTAAGTCCCAACATCGACATGCAAATTCTCTACACTAATCTCACTACATTTCTTTAAAGAATTAGTCGAAACAATTTGTTTATAGATCATAGCATTTTCCCTTAGGTGACCAATACATTAATTCTCACAAGCTTTTCTCTTGATTATGTACTGAAACTGTTAGGAGAAAATTGGGATTGGTTAGTCACTGTTAAGGCTTGAGTAGTTAAGGTAAGAGGCCACAAATATTATATTTTCAACACTTTTGATTGATATAGACAACCATAAATCCAAGCAAAAGACGAATTTGATGATAGAAACGGATAAAATATTAGTTTGCTGGGTCTGAATGTTGGTGTAAATGGCGAATCATCATCCTAATAAAGAGAGCGCGTAAATGATACCTTTTGTTCCTCTTCTGAAGAGTGATGAACATCTATCCATTCACCCTCGTCATCATCATCATCACTTTCCCATTCATCTGTTGATGAAATTACCCAAATTGAGTTCTTACAGGGCTAAAAGGATTTCTTAGAAGAGGAGTTTTTTAATCAAGACTTGCGGCTGTCATAAACAGTGGGAAAACTTACTGTCCGTCAAAAGAAAGCGAAGATGAATAACGTGAATGAAAATAAAAATTTGCATCTAATTCACTCGTGTTGTTTTTAAACATGACGGGAAATGAATCCATTGCACTTCACTGAGACAAATGACGACTACGTAAAATAAGTAAATCTCATTACCATTGTTTGCTTCGATTTTAGAATCAAGGTCCTCGTCCTCATTTCCTTCCTCAAGAACCTATGACAAGGTTTTACGCATCAGTACTGAAAGTATATCATTCTACATTGCGGAGTGAACTTGAACTAACCGTAGTCGATCGTCATCGTTAAAAAGAAAAGGAAAAGAGAGAGGAGAGGAATCGAAACAAGTATATGGTGGGAGAAACTCAGTCAGGTTTTTAAACCTTCCCACACTGTTGTCATAGAGCCATGACACACTTCGAGGAGAGTGCGCGCACTTTTCCGCGCTTGCAATCACATGCAAACGCGTGTCGTGTGTTTGCACGGAAGAGACTAACTTTAGTAATATTGGTTTAACGCAACTTTGTCAAGGTTATTGCTCACATTACTTGCTAATAACAAATTAACTTTTTATTCGTTAAATACATTGTTCGTTTTTCAAGTGACACTAGAAACTGTTGATATGGGGAAACAAACAATTCTGAAACTTTTTGGGGTCAATAATTTACCTCTGTTCCAGGCACAAAGTTAGTCGTCTTCAGTTCACCATACTGTTTTACAGTAAAAGTCTTGCTTTCCTCGGTCGGTTTGCCCTATAAAAGAGGGACAAAATATCGTAAACTAACTACCTACATGCGTGGCTTCAAAATTATCACGACGAGTCTGAAAGCGTCACAAAGCGCATCACTAAACAGCGCAAAGAGTAATCGGCATTCTTTGTTTGTATTGATTATTATTGATTATATTCTTTGTTTGTACAGTCTGTTTCTTAGTAGCATAGCATATACTTTTTACCTGTATTAAAACTAGAAACTTAACAGCAGTGGGGCCCACCAGAAAACTTCCCAGTTAACTCTACACCTCGGGCTCTAATTAAACATTTTGTAATTATCTGGTAAGTTTATTTTGTACTAAAAATTTAATAGCACATTGTAATTAAGTAAATTAGCCACAAAGAGCAATTAAAACCATCTATAAAAAAGGGGACATAGGGGTGGGGAGCTTCCCTTTTCTCCTCATCCCCTTCCCGCCCCCTCTGCACCCAAAGAGTTTCATCTTGAAAACATCTCGAGCGAAAAGAGTTTTCTCACCCTGTCTTTTTTATGAAGAAGAGCGGGATTCACAGCACGGAACAACTGTATAAGAGACCTAGCAGCCATCATAACACCTATAAGGACAACAATAGCGTCAGTTTTATGAGATATAGAGGAACAGTAACATATTCTCACTACCTACAATACACATGAACATACGAAGAGATACGAAGGGGCGGAGTCCCCTATTTTTCCGTGAGATCGTCGAGATCGAGCGCGTCTTACCGTTAATGGTAGCCATCTTGATTTCAAATATACCGAGTCTGACCTGGGGATGAGTATCAAGTCGGCTCAGGGGGCGGGGAAGGGTTTGGGAAGAGACGAGTATAATAAAGCTATAATCTTCGACGCCCGCCCCCTCGGTACATTTGAAAATCAAGATGGCCGCCATTAACGGTAAAACGCGCTCGATCTCGACGATCTCATGGACAAATAGGGGACTGTGAACAATCTATGTACCGCGTCATACAAGGGGGCTGGGAGGGTCGGTCGCTGACCGCCCTCTGAGATGTTTTTAGACAAATACACGCAACAACAAGAATGGTGGTAATATATACAACGCTTACAATTGTGGGCTATCTATTGTTATGAAAATATCCTTGGTTTATTTCTGGGAATTGAGAATAGTTCAAAACACACTTACTTTTATCCTTAGAAGTCTTATACTGCGCTAAATCCTGTAGTAGCTCATCGGTCATCACTAGAGGACATCTTGCACAGACTTCGCGAACAGCGTTTAAACTACAAACAAAACAAATCACGTCATTTGGCTTCGATTCAGGGGCCGGTTACATGATGAATAGCCTGTGAAGCCGGCAGGATCGTTTGAGCTGTGAAGCCGCACGGAGAATGGGGAGGAGACGCCTCTCGTAGCTTTGCTGCCAAAAACTCTCACGCGCGCAAAAACAATTCCGCCAGCTACGCAGGTTAGACGGGCTAAGATTTAACCCTTTATGCCCTAAGAGTGATCAACATCAAATTTCTCCTTGTAAATAGCAGTCCTTTGTAAAACAAAGCGGTCATGAGAATTACGGACATGATCACACAAGATGAATTTGCTTGATATTTTATCAAATTCTCCCCACTACTTCTGTAGGAAATGAATAGGGGCAATAAACGAGAATGGTTTAAAGGATTAAGTATTACAAACGGGCTAGACCCTAGATTTCATAACCGAAGGCCATTAATGCGCTGATAAGTCCGTCTTAAATTCTCCATGCAACTCAGCTTTCGCCGTATCAATCCTAAGATGAAATTAATTTCATCACAGCCATATAAAAAGTGAGATGACTGGATAATTGAATACCTAATGGTGACTGCTGCGTGTATGGAGTACTATGAAATTAGCGCCAAAAGAACAGGAATACATGTAACATCCCTTGCAAAAATGCTCTTGAGAAATCCTACAACATGGACATAAAAGAGACACTTTCTAGCAAATACCTTTGTAATAACCAGGAGACACTAATTTATGATCCTTACCCAACAGCCATAACTTCATTGGAGTTTCTTTCTGTCACAAAATTATTTACAATTGCTTTGAGACCTGATTCAATGACCTGAAAAAAAAACAGGAACATCTATTTACAATTGATTTTTAAGGGGTAGAATCCTACCCCGAATGTGAAGGAACAGTCGTTCCAGAACTCACTGAACCTGGATATGAAATTAAGGATTTACAAACCTCTGGAGGAACAAGCTCATGGCACGCTTGAGCAAAATATGTCAGCAGTTTAGTGACCTCTGATGGACCGAGAAACAAAAGAAAATCGTTACTAACAGACCATTTCACGTTACTACTCACACAATTTAGGAAAAGGGTGAAAAAAGGAAACTGAAATACCAGTTCAGTGACTGACTTATATGCAGTCCTCTCGTGTACAGTTAACTCTCTGCAGTGACCAACATCAACTTTCTCCCAACAATAATGTTGCCAAGAGAAATGGTTATGAGAGTCAGTAAAATGATCATTAAAGAGAAAATGCTTTGATCATTGATCAAATTTTCTCAACTAATTCTTCAAGGAAATGTATGGAGATCAGTTTGGAGAATTTATAAGTGGATATCGCGGCTTAAAGGGTTAACGGACACTCGGTGTTAGTCCCTGCCGTTTTTCAGTCATTTTACTGTATTTATACTCTCCATAACGCGGAAACCTCTCTAAGACGGACAACGGACACTTTTGAAACCGTCAACGGACAATTGGGAAGTGCTTTATGAGGTGAAAATACCTCAAAACGGAAATGTAGGCGTTCTACATGACAGTAAATTGCAAAATGTTTGATACTTTGTAGTCTTGCTCCAGTTCGCTGGGTGTATACCGTTACACTTTTGGACCACGAAGCAGTGAACGTTTGCTTATAGTAAACGTTTGACTGCACAATGAGAAAATAATTCCACTTTTCTGTTACAATGTTCCAGTTTTAGCTGTGTCGTTCAAGTTAAGCAGACGTGTATTCATTGCGAAAAGTTACTGGTGTCACGTTACCTCGACTCTCTATAAGCCGGACACCTTTCTAAGATGGACAGTCAGAGCCGATCCCGAAGGTGTCCGTATCTCTCTTGAATATTAAAATGGGTAACGCGTAGGAGATGCGCCCGGGGACAGTTGATTCCTCAAGAGAACGTGCTATTGCGTAACAGTGATAACAGACAAAGAGACGTCTGGAGTCGATTCGAGTTCACTGACGTTTGCAAACTTTAAGGTGAATTGATTAGTTGGCCACGTGGTCCAGTCCACGCAGTTTGTATTTGTTTTCCTTTGCTCTTCGATCAAGACACCAAAGTTACAGTTAAGTATCATTAAGAAAACGATACTAAAGCTGTTCCAAGAAAAAAAAATACTAACTGCCTTAGATTTATTTGACCATTCGCAAAAACGTGGAGGAAAAAGTACCTGCCCTTGTCCATAAACTCCCCCACAAAAATGTAATAAGAGAAACACAAGTTCTTACCTCGTTGATGCGGCTGCAGGTATCTTTGGATGAAAGGATACAGATTGAACAAGAAAAGCTGTGGAACGAACAGAAAAAATTAATTTCCTGTGAAGGGGATGATTATTTTCGTTAGAATTTGTTGTGGATGATTTTGACAGAAGGCGTGGACATTACTGGGAAAATATGTGTACGATCGCTAAAATCACTGCAATTGATTAGCAGTCGCACTTGTTGTATATGAACAACTCTTCCACAATCGGATAGTTCATTGCCAAGATGGCTGAGCAGAAAAGGCTATTTTCCGTATGGCCGCTAATATCGATCGTCCGGATCGCTCGACCTTATTCGGCGATCGCAACAATTCGATAGAAATCATATGAAAACAGGGCTTCATAGCCCACTTCTATGACCCTGGGAGAGTATGCTGCCTGACTTGGCCATTTCGCGCGGTTGTGGTTGAAAGTGGGATTGGTCGTTGTTGTGGGGACTGTTCTGCAGTCCGGAATATCCCTAAATTTAAGGACAGGGCCAACTGGTCAGGCGCCACTTTTTAACCAATGAGATGGCGCGCTTGTGTTTATCAACAAACAAATCAAAACATCGCCCCAGTGATCAAAAATTTTCAAAACAACGGACGGAGTCGGACAGAATTAAAGATGAGCTTACAGTACTCGTCTAGGTTTCACATTTAATATTTCAAAGAAAACATGTCATGTAAGAGAATAAGAGCATTAATCATTGCAAGGAATGCGAACTGATTCCGGACCGATCGCAGAGGTCGTGGCTTCACTGGCATGGCTTGCAAGATTTTTGATAGAAGCAAACTCGTCCCGTGTAAATTTAGCCTTAGAGAGAGTGTGAAAATTTGTTGCGATCGTACAAAACAGCATTGGTACTACCTATTAACTTCTACAGGACAAGAATCAAAGAACCAGTCATCATAACAAGAATAGAAAGTAGTTCAAATTTATTAATTTTTCTTGTTTGTTTTTTTGTGTTGTTTCGTGTTGACTTCACGCATCTGGTGCTTTCTTTGCTTGCTGTAGTACCTGCAATGTTTTAATTTTATCCCAGATAATCAGTGCATGTTCAATGAGTAGCGAAATACAGCCTTTACAATTGAGATTTGCCTTGTTTCTTTGATTGTTTTTTAACGGCGGATGAACATTTGGAGAATCCAACAACATTAAATCTTTCCAGATTAGTGAATTTCAGAAACAAAGCGGTTAGTATCTACCTTGCGCTTATGATCTTCAATTTCATCCCCGCAAATTCGGCAAAGTGAGGCGAGATGTTGGACGTGAATATCCATAAGACTAATAAAGTTGTTTTGGCCTTGAAAAAAAAGGCAAAGGCTTGTACTAATGCGAAAAAAAGTAATAACACGGCTTTTGGGAGAAACCCGGGAGTGGAAAACGTACGTGTTTTGGACCTCGGAATTCAAAAATTGTCTACCAAAATTCTAGGTTGTCTGCCACCCCCACATTCAACACGATAAAAGTTAATCGATATGACAATCGAGGAAAAATATCTAGAACTTCGTAAAAAAATCTGTGAATCGAAAAAATAATAGATACTTGTTCACCTACCTTGAAAGCCGACCAAAATCTCTCCTATACATCGCGTTGTTTAAAAGATAAAAGAAGAATAAGCCACAAAATGTGCTGAATATTTCACGAGACACTTCCAATATGGCTTCCGATACGCTATCCACTTAAAAAAAATTGTGTATGCCTCATGAAAAGTCTTAAAAATATGCCTGAGTGCCTCGAAACGATGACTGATTCTGCCCGACTCCGTCCGTTGTTTTGAAAATTTTTGATCACTGGGGCGATGTTTTGATTTGTTTGTTGATAAACACAAGCGCGCCATCTCATTGGTTGAAAAGTGTCGCGTGACCAGTTGGCCCTGTCCTTAAATTTAGGGATATTCCGGACTGTTCTGGAGAGGAATCTTGACCCATTTTCCCCGCGCGTCCTCGTAATATCCAATCAAATAGCGCTAGCGTCCCCAAAACAGTCCACAGTGCAGTTCGACAGAACACCCGACCCAGTCTCCCGCAAATCCTCTAAACGGCGCGGTCCTGGACAAAATGGGACGCATTACAACCTTGTCCCCAGGGCTTTTCTCTTCGGGAATGGGAGGGGAAAGGCCCTAGGGACGAGGTTGAACGCATAATTTTTGAAATGTGCTAATAATTATGCTTTCAAACTATTATGCTAGTCATTTACGCTCAACAAATGTCACTATTACGCTCAAATAGCATCACTAGAATGCTCCGTGAAAGCGCGCAGCGGAGCATCGTAGGTAGGAAAATTTGGTTATCCATGCATCCAAGAAATTTGGGTTCTTACAAAATCGTCCGTACGTTCGTCGACCCGTTTATGTTAGCGGATGTGAAATGTCACATTTACTAGCTTGGAGTCCAAGGTAGTAGTATACAATCTGTGCTAAACTTGATAATTGTTATGGTCAATTGACAGCTGTCAAAAAAGGTTTACAACTCGTTGAGATGACGTGTCATCCGCTGACTGTTATTGGTTTTCAATTAATCGCAGGCTCAGGTCCATTTTTTTTTCAGGAGGAATTCAGTTTGTTTCTTGCTTATGGCAAAAGTTGAATTACTGCAGAAAGAAATTTCTTGAAAGATCCCACGAGAGCCTCGCTTTTGGCCTTTGCTAAATCTATATATTAATATTATTAATATAAAAATGCTCATTTTGGATGATTTTTCTCGCTAAATCATTGAAATGACTCATCTGAGAATCAGACAGCTGACAATGTTGTGGAACTTAAACAGCTCGATCGAAGCCATGTTTTTACTAATTTGTAATCAGGCATGGTCTTAAAATGTTGTATATGGGCTGGTGTCTCAAATGGAAATTCTATGGTCTTGGAAAAGTTTGCATAAAACACAAAGAGTCAGAGAAATGTTGCACTATTAATTCAGCATAATTCTGGACCACACGACAAACTAGATTGCTTCTAGGATTGTTCGTTTAATATATATATATTTTCATAGAATTTTCTTTTCTCTCTTGTACCCGCCTCGAATAGCCTTCGCTAATTGCAGGCACAAGCTTTGTAAGCTATATTTAATTTGAAATAAGCTTGTTGTTGTTGTTGTTGTTGACTCTTTTGCCTCACTTTTATGCCCTAAATTATGGCAGCAGAATGTGGACAACCCTAGACACATTTACATTTTAAAATTTGCAATAATGCGGGTGGGAATAACCAGAGCGCACAGAAAAATATCTGACCTGGTGAACCCCGACAAGTCTTGATATGAGGTCCATCATCATTACTTTAACTTCAAATCTTTCTGTTGAGGTCTCAAGTTGTTTAAACAATCTTTCACTAAATCCTGTTAAAACCAAAATTTTAAAATTCAGTGAGACACTTATAATGAGTTCATGAAAAAAAACCTACCATGTTATGGGGTTGTAAACTTAACTTATCCAATTTTTTTTTGTTTCATACGCGCCATTTCCGAGTTTAATGCTCACTTTCGAAATGAGGCTAAGTCAGGAGCTCCCGGCTGAATGCAAAACTTTTCTTGTGAAAATGAGTTTTATTTGCATGAGGATAAAAAAAATGCATTATCACATCAATGGCTTTGCACTTTGGCTTACCCTGAAACAGAGGCTTGGTGCAACTTGGAAATGGCCTATTACGGTCTATCACATTGAGTTGTCTTACCCTGAGGATCGTTGATAAGATGAAGAGCAGAAAAATCAACTGCAGACGTGTTTTTGCGTTTCTTCTTTTGTTTCTGATAAAAAAGATAAATTCATAATTTAACATTATTTAATATTTAAAAGCACAAAATAATATTGCTAACAATGCTCCAGCACAAGAGAACAAAAATGACTTAACCCTTTGAGCCCTTAAGAGTGATCAGCATCAAATTTCTCCTTGTAATATCAATGTTATGTAAAACAGAGTTGTCATGAGAATTACAGACATGATCACACATGATGAATTTGCTTGATGTTAATTTTTATCAACTCCTCCCCACTACTTCTGTAGGAAATGAATAGAGGCAACAAATAAGAATTCAAATTTTGATTTTAGAGTTTAAAGGGTTAACTCAATATTGGGTGTTGTACCTCTAAAATGATACAAAAGAGAATCGGAGCCGAGATCAGGTTTCCCTCCTACACGCCCCCTAAACCCTGGGAACAAGGTTCGGTAAATGAAAGGGACAGCAGCATGCAAAGGATTCCTTGCGTTCCCACACTTCAGATGAGGAGTTTTTCTCCTTTTGGCAAAGGAGATTGCATGGGTTTGGGGGGAGGGTTGGGGGAAAGAGGTTAAAAGGGGGAAGGAAAAAAAGGGTACTTACAGTCTGTAAGACATGCCGAGCAAGCAAGAAGTACTGAAATGCGGGAAAGTTATGAAGACCAACACACAGAGTCAAAAAAGCTACCTTTAGAGTTGCCATTGCTTTGTCAATTTTCTGTTTCTTCTTCATTGTTTTCTTGTTCACACTACTGGCATGAAGCATTCGTCTAATGGCAGACTGGTCCAGCTAGCAAAACAGATTTGGAGTAACACAAGAACAAAGGTACCTCAGATATCATTACATTTTGCATTTTATTAATTAAGTCATCCACAGACATGAGCATGGGGGGAGGTGCATGAGAGGCTGGTAGAGCCATGGACCGCAGCTGAGTGCAATGCGTAACCTTGACAGCCCTGAGAGTGGCACCCAACCTCACTGAGCTCACAAAAAAAACACAACCGATGATCGGCAACAACACCAAAAATAATGTAATGACCTGACCTCACATAATGGCTGTAAAAAGACCCAACGCCCCTGCGATGCGATTAGGGGGCTACAAATCACTGATGAGAGAGACATCTGGTCAATCAGCACTGAGTTTTAATTAGCCTAAATTTCATTTAGCCACTTTGAAAAGATGGTCATAAAAAAAGTTCAAAAGAACTCAGGGTGTTCTCTGGTTGATGATCCCAGTAACAGGAAGTTTTTTTACAGTATTCAGTTTTGCAAGAAATAAGGCACTGCAGTATTGGAGCTGCCGGTGTAGCGGTGGTGTCTTTTCAGTTACAAAATTTTATTCATCAGGGAAAAGAAACACAAACAAAAAAAGGCATAATGACTTTGCTAACCTCTTGATCACTATCACTGTCTTCTTTATCTTTGTCTTCTTCATCATGTCCGAGAAAAAATGTCAGAGCTGCAACCACAATCTACAAATGAATTTCAGGTACATGAGCACACAAAGTTTTTTCACATTTCATTGGGACAAACTGAGAAGAAAAGTGAGTGCAAAAAAATAATAAAATAAAATAAAATAAAGCAAATAAGTTAATATAACTAACTACATGTAAATAAAAAAGCGTGAGAGAGGGCACCCTGTCGTTTTGGCAGTCCTTGTTGGTTTTTTCTTTTCTTTTCATTCTTTTTGCACTCGCCTTTCTTTTTCCCTGGTCCCAAGTACAAAAGAGAGAGACTGGAACAAGCTACAGACAAAAGACCTCTGCAAGTATATCGAGCTGACATAACACAAAAGAAACTGCACTCCTATACTGATAAAGTAAGAAAAGACAATTTCCTTGTACGTGATATGCTTAGCACAATCTGAACGTGATTGAAATGTGAGAAGAGTACTTACACAAGAAAGGGCCCTTATTTACCAGTTCGGCCAAGGCAATAGACACTATATTCAGAGAAGGGGGCTTAGTCTATTATTTGTAAAAGTGTTGGTACTTATTCAATGAATGAAAATGTTGCTGGGTTAACAACTGTAATACATGTACATGTACTACCTTCGTTATAGGGGAAAAACAGGCTGTTGTGATCACATTTACTGTTTTCCCATCATTCCAAATATTTTTTCTGTACAGTTCAACCATTACATCAAGGGATTTCTTAGCAGCTATAGGATTGTTGTCACGTAACATCGTGTACATAAAGTTCTGCAACGTCTAAAAGTAAATAAAAATAATGAGTAGACATGAAGTTGCATTACACTCTGTCTTGGTATTAAGTAGTTAAAATGACGATGATGATGATGATGATGATGGTGATGATGATGAACAAGAAGAAAACAGTTGATGACAAAATCTACAAATTCTTGTTAATTAAAGGGAAACCACAAAAAAGAAACTGCACGCATGACTTGTTGCTGTAAAGCAATACACTTGTAACATAGAAGAATTGAAGAAAGAATGACTTTCGAAGAGCTTAACACTTGACAATTTCTGTCATGATGTATGCCAACTCAATTGTCTGTACAATCATGTTAGCATTTGAAGACTTACAGTATTGACTTTGTTGTTCTTGTGCTTTGCATTTATGTTCTTGATATCTGTGACTATGTGACTGTATAGAACCTCTCTAAGTAGTTTATCCTTGCATCTGAACAGTGCAAAGAAGAGTTCTAGAAGACTGATAATGAGAAGAGAAAAGTCAGTCAACCACTTATCAGAAAATTTTCTTCTTTTTTACAAAATAAAATAAAATTACAGTTGCTAGTTTAACATAACAGGTAGTACAAATAAATTAGAATCATAACACTAAAAACTAACCACAATTATAACAGTAATTTAAAACTACAAAAAATGGCTTTGTAGGGGTGTCTTAATAATTATTGGTAAGCTGGAGTTTTCAAGGTGGACCGCAAATAAGGACAAAAACAAATTAAATAATCATTGAAATCAACACGACTAATAAAGCAGGGGTGTCACATATCCAATGTAGGGCCAGGAGACGAGGATTTCCCGTGGGTACTATCCACTTTAAAACAGAAAGGACTTCCTAACTTCCAGCTGGCAATTAGGGTAGGCCTTGAACTCAAAGCCTTCAAATTGCAAGTCCAGTGCCCTAAACACTTGGTGCACTGCCTCTTACCGTATTTATTTGAATAAGCGCCCAACCTCGAATTAGCGCCCATCCTAAAGGCAGAAAAAGTTAATAAGCGCCCAGCCTCGAATAAGCGGCAGCACTAAAACACGGAATCCGGAATCCGGAAACGGAAACGGAATCACGGAAACGGAAACGGAAACAGAATACGGAATCTGTGAAAGAAGGTTCCAAGCGATCGATTTGAAAAAAATAATATTAGCAATGACAATGAAATAAATAAACAGAAAAAAAAAAAGGCACAAATGAATAAATTAGCTGAGTACAGGAGAGGAGACTGCTGTGTCACTAGAGGAGTCGATTCCGGTGAAAAGACGCTTGATACCACTGTCGGCAATGAATGCAAATTCTCATGGGACAGCAAAGCGAGGAGAAAAACGTGACTGACAAAAACTAGTGCCTTAACAAAAAGGTAAGTTATATGGAGACAGACTTCGTTTGAATCGTCTGAGGCGTCGTTTACATAACTGAAAGGCGTCGCCGTCAAGTTTTTCTCAGTGTCTTTTCTGGGTTGTCTTCAACAGTGTTCAGTTTTATTTATCAAGACAACTTACTCAAGAGAACCATGGCATTGTGGAGTCCAAAGAGAAGAGAGAATTGTGCATGCATTTGCTTGATTCCGCAACCGATTACATCAAAATAATGCGCCATGTTTAATAAGCCTCTTCAACAAAAATACGGACGTCCACGTAAACTCAATTACCGGTACACCAGTATTCCATCAGTATTCAGCTTGGCGAAAAAGTTGAACTTATTGCTAAAACACCGGAACTGTGGTCACGTCACCGGTCGGTCATGTGTGGAGTATTCAGTTTGGGGACAATCACGTGGTGTGGTCTGAGGCTAACTTCGACTATTCTTGACAATTAGCTACAAAAGTAATATTTAACTGTATTATTCAACCCATGAACTCGTGAATAAAAATTACTCGTAAAATTACTTTCATCGGCCTTGCAGTGCGGTAACCCACACTACGGCAAACCTTATCAAGACACAATAACAAGAATATATTTAAGGGAACTGCCAAGAAAACTAAGACAAATTCTCTTTGGATTGTACTAAATTGTGTATTGTGAAATTCTTTAATTTTCTATCATCGATATTTGATTCCGTATTCTGTTTCCGTTTCCGTTTCCGTGATTCCGTTTCCGTTTCCGGATTCCGTGTTTTAGTGCTGCCCCGAATAAGCGCCCACCCCCACTACACCCCCCTCACCCCTCCATTACGATGTCGGACATCAAGAAGGCAGCACAAGAGAATTCACTTATTGACTTGAGTGGGCTTGAAATTGAAATTGAATAAAGTACTAATAAGAGGCTTCCCCAAAGACAGAGTTTTCTTCAGAGTATTTTACAGAAACCTTGCTTTGTTACATCTAAGTGTTGCATTTTGCTATTAACATTTATTGCTTTGTTGCAAAATAAACATACTACATTTGCTGAAAATGGTGAAAATTTAATAAGCACCCAGCCTCAAATAAGTGCCCACTCTCAAGATCTAAAAATTTAATAAGCGCCCAGGGTGGTTAATCGAATAAATACGGTAATTATTTAATTCAAGGTTGTAGCTTGTAAGAGCATCTACCATCAAAACTTTTATGTACAACAATTTGCAGTAGTCTTTCTTTCAGGAATCCTTTTGTGCATGGTACAGATAAAATAAATACAAAATAATTATGTAAAAACTAGCAGAAAGTGAGTGCCACATGGTAAGATGGTAAGATAATATATCATTTTGACATTGTAAGACATAATACCTTGTAGGCGAGAGTAGGTTCTTGTTCCTAATAAGTATAAGAGCTTTACAGAGTGTCTGTAAAATTAAGAAAGCATTGAAATAGGATTAGTTTGCTGAATCAAGCATAATGTGCAATAGTCTGAAATGACTGAATCTGTTTCATTTGGGTTTGAATATTGCTTCTGTCACTGAGTTTAATTTGCAGGTGTATGGAGTGTAGGTGCATTAAGTTTTAGAACATATTTTTCCCTTAGAAACTCATGTACACTCTCTATCAGAAACGTGTGTCGATAGAAAATGAAGAATAGCAGAGTACCTCAATAATAATTTATTGTTGAAATATTTCTCCATGTTAATAAATAATGTGGCCCATCACATGCACAGCGGAATGATGAAACTTGAAAATTAAAAAATATGTGCACTGTACAATTTGTACTTCAACATTAATAATATTGCTACATATCGATGGTTACCATTCTGAGATCTGCATCCATGGCACTGTGGTGTCTTTGAAGGACATCTATTATTTCTTGAGGAAAATGTTCTAGTTCTTTAGTATAGCAGTGGGAAACCTATAAAATTAATTCAGAAGCTTACACTGTTAGTAAAATCAGCCCTTTCACAACAAAAATGCATCCATTTTAAGCCCCCTCCCCCCTTCCCCCTCAGATATAAGTCACTCAAGCTTGTATTAAAATGAATTTGATTCATTGTGATGTTTTGAAGCTTTATTAAAAACCAACTAATACAAAATGTATTTTGATCAGCACTGCCATATCTGTAGCCTGTCAGCAAATGCTTTTTCTAGCTAGTCGAGTTGTAAGCCCTCTCATAAATAAGCCACTCCATTTTCTAGGCCCTCTTAAAACTCCCTACAAAGATAGGCCCAAGGCTTATAAGCAGTAGTTTATAAACCCTATGACATTATATTAATAATTTATTATTGTTTCTTCTTTTCATTACTAATATTAATATCATTACTACCTTATTAGTTTACATGTATTTCAAGGGAAATTTGATTTGATTTATTGATTTGCTCAATTGTACGTTACAACACTTTGATAGTACTTAAGAAACAATTACAATATTGAACAGGAAGTCTCAAAAGCCTTTTTCTGCTCATTGAGGGACTCCCTGTCAATTTACATCAAGTTCATTTGATGATGTGGACGATTTTGGCTAGGAATTAAGGTTTTTATGTCATCAATACTGTATAGGTGCTTACATCGAATTTATCAATAAAATATCACAAATGTGAAATCACTGTTTCATACTACCTCTTTATTCGCAATGGATATTCTCAAGTTACGTTTAAAACAATAAATATTTGAAAATATTTGTTAACGCTCCAGGAAGTTGACATTTCAGGTTACTTTTGCTTACCTGGCTGATAAACATGACCAAGTCTCCAAGAGTTTTGTTTGCATTTGATGGATCAAGTTTAAATATCTGCAGATTGGATTCATAATGCCGAAACTGCTGGAGAAACTAAAAGTAGAAACCATTGCCTCACATTACACTTTGCAATACTACCACCAAGAACATATGTTTGTTAGGGGAACACTGTTCAGGGACGGATACAGGATTTTTTTTAGGAGGGGGTGCACTCGTCTCTTGCCCTACTTCAACATCAATAAACCACATAGTTTTTTTTTTTTTGCAGAATACCAGTTGTATTAGAAAACTGCAGGTCATCTTGGGGGGGGGTGCACACCCCCTGCACCCTCCCCCTAGATCCGCTCCTGCTGTTCTTGTTGAACATTGGAAAGCTGAATTACTTCAGCCCTTCAGGCTAAAAATAGGCAAATTTAGCACAAGTGGATGGTGATGTTGGCATCCAGTCCACGCTTTGTGACTCGTTTTTCCCTGGCAGGGGTACTTTGTAGAACACTGAAAGGATGCTGAACACCGAATGACTCTGAAGTTAAGTTGTGTTAAGTTAGGGTTGGAAAACTGAGTAAATCAAGGTTTCAGGTCAGTTTTGCTACAGTCTAGTATAATGATCCTAAATGGAACCTGATTCAAAGCACAAACGACATCCCTAACGAATCATATTGTTAATTTTATCAATTCAATAAATCATACAAACTTCATTTTCCTTCAGTAGCATTAAGGGAGCTCTGTTAAATCAATATACATCTGTATCAATTACCCATGTTAAATTGAAAAAACTCTTGAAATTACCAACAATTCTGAAAGCAAAGCAAGGGTAATTTTGTTCACTGACAATCCATAAGGACCGCAGAGCAACTTTGCACGTGCAAATGGAGAAACGGCGACATTGATCCCTAAAACAGCACACTCACCTCTTCTCTGTATGAATCGGGATCCCTTTTAATCAAGTTCTGCAACTGTGGCAAGTTAGTGGGCAACTTGTTTCTATTTCGATCACTCATATCTGCTAGAAGAAGCTCTTAAAATGAAGAAAACGTCTGTGTATTCTCGGATGAAATTCAGGTTTTCCGTCGGCCATTTTGATGCCTCGTTTTGATGAGTTTTCGTAGTTGTCTGCTGGTTACCTGGCTCGCAGGCTCTGCGATAGAGAACAAGAAAAAAATCACGAAATTTTTAAAAGTTTTGCAGCTACCCTGTTCCGGCATGTATATCATTTGAACATTATTTATGAAAGACACAATAAAAAAAGGATATCCATTAAAGAATGTTGAAAAGACCACAGGCCAACCACCCTATTGTTGTTTAATACTGAACCTGAGAATCGATCAAGAGAACTGTATAGAAGAAATACAGATGACTGATGAGGGCGGCTATATAATTTGCTCCAAAGCACGGATTTGAACCCAAATTACTTTCCGCTGATCAAAGAATTATTTCAAAACAACGCTTAAAAAAACTCAGAGAGTCATAAAAACATGACAAATGACTTAAATAGTTAACATTACTTTGAAACTTTCATTATAACTCTGCCATTACAACGGCCGCTGATAAGAGGACACAGTAAATCCACGTAAAAACATTCCACAGGCAAACAACTTCAAAATAACGCCAAAAAATTATTCTGTAATCACCATAGAACGATTCTTAAAACAAAACTTCGCTAACTATCGAACGATGGCTGAGATTTAGACAGATAAAAACAGCCTTCCAAAATCTCCGACAGAACTTGAAAAAGTGGGGCCGACTTTTTCAAGTTTGCTTTCATTGGCTCGCGCATGCGTGTGGGGTGACATAGCCCCCTTGGAGAAAACTGTAGCCGCCGCAACAACGGCCACTCGAACGAGGGGCGGCCAGATTATAAAATCTATATCTATTAGGTCTCCACAAAAGGTGAGGGGCAATAAAGTTTTCCGCCGCCCGGTTAGCTCAGTTGGGAGAGCGCCGGTCTGCTGAGCGGGAGGCCGTAGGTTCAAACCCCGGCCGGACCAACACTCAGGGTCTTTAAATAACTGAGGAGAAAGTGCTGCCTTTGTAATAACATTTCTCGGATAAGGACGATAAACCGTAGGCCCCGTCTCACAAGCCCTTGCACATGTAATAAATCTGTGGGACGTTAAAGAACCCACACACTCTTCGTAAAGAGTAGGGCACGTAGTGCCCGGTGTAGTGGTGTATCTCACTTTCACACTCATTTATGGGGGCATCATCACTCATTCCTTCAGTACTTGTAAACTGCACCTTAAGCAGTCTGGCAAAATCCCCCAACCAGTGTTGTAAATTATCCCTGAACAGCCCTGTGGGGAGTGGATAATAAGATATTTACATTTACATTTACATAGTAGCTGATGGATTACAGTAAGAAATTGAACAAGATTGATGCAAGGATTGGAACTCAGAACTTCTGGAACAAGTCCACGTAGCCGGCAGGATTTATTGCGGCGCTCCAGGTTCATTCCACGGTGTTCTCTGTAATTGTCTATTAATCTCAGAGGCTTCGTCGCTTGCTACGCGCAGCGACTCCCTCCGCCCAAAAACACTCCCCTGCTCTTTTCCCGCCAGCCACGTAGGTTAACAGGGAACGGCAAGAATCTAAATCACTCGGACGGTAGCCTCGCCCCTTTTCCCAGATCATGCGCTCATATTTTTGGCTTGCCTTTTACTTTTGCGTCATTCCTACTACCTGATATGAGAGTCTGGAATAAGCTACTGCGATGGGGAGTGGTTCCACCTCATCCGTCCGACAGATGTTTACGGCTTCACTATTGAGCGAAGGTTGCATGTACTTGACTATCGAACATTTATGAAGAAGGATTTACTTGCGAAAACTTTGGTTTTATCCCGTGAGTTGATAAAGTACATTGGACAACGTGGGGGAATGGCGAAGCTGACATCTCAAGCGCCAGACCTTCGTGACAAACCAAAGTTTTTGTATTCCACTTCTTCGCAGACACAACACCACAATTTCTTAAAACCCTTTCGGTGTATCTTTTTCGGCCCGTAAAAGGCCAACATAAAAGAATTGGGGCAAGCAAATTCTTGTGGCAGCTCTTAGGAAAAGAATGAGGCAAGGGCCAGTGGGTAGCCAATTGCGTGTGTTTTAATACAATGTGTAAAATTGGCCAAGAACGGAGGATAGGAGGGATGAATAAGTTGCCGTTACGGAATTCGCAACTATGGTTGCATGCCTTTGAATTTCAAGTTAAGCAGGGTAGCCACTGACAAGGATGAGCAGTACCTTCAGGCAGGTCCAATGCTGGCCAGGTTAGCTCTTTTATTTTTATTATTTTTATTTTTTTTTTAGGGCAAAGAGCGCTGGTATACAGAGGAAGGTGGTGGATTCTATCCCCGGTCACAATAAATTTATAACATGTCGCAGCAGCAAAATATGGTCTGAAAATGACTGACGAGGAAGGTTATGCCTTTGTCCTGCGTCACCTTTTGCGTTCCAATGAAAACACTTTATTATTTTTTCTTTTATTAAAATACTTTATGATGTTAAAATCAACAACATTAATAACGCTAGTGTATTATTATATTATTTTTGATCTGAATATCTCAACTTCACCTTGTTTCTCACGAAAGACTCGCCAATTATTGAAAAAAAAACTTATTCTTTTACAAGCCAGGTATAGTAATTTTAATTTAAGGATTATATTTATACTGGTACTTGAACTGCGGCTGACCATATCCACTTCCTAAAATTTATGGACAGATTTTAATTATTGTAAAAAAAATAGTTAAAATAATCACAATCTTATAATACATTAGTTTTAAAGGCTGCTTCAACTAAGCTCCACAAATTGACTTGTCTGTGCTTCATGATCCACCCTACTGCCTTCCTGCAAAGTCGGCAGCCTTTCAGGTCCTAAAGGCTCCTCATTGATCAACTGTTGATGACCAAATTCACTTTTGTTAAGTCCAATATTGTAACTTCTTCCTATAACGTATGTCCAAAACGCTCCAATCAGCATCAGTACAGCAAGTAACCAATGGTAACAAGCGACCTTCTCGTTGCCCAGGTAATGCTGACGTACGTCATCATCAGCTCTGGGGTACCATCCCCACTGATAAGCAGTCAGAGCCAATACACACAGGCTCATGACACTTCCAACACTTATCATCAAATTGTACACTGCTGTGGTAACGCTCTGAGGCGTGGAAGGGCACATAGTCAGTACCAGTTGTAAAGCTGGTGAACAAAGGCAACATACAATACAATTGAAATAATTCTGACAGACACCACAATATTAAGCATGTGCCCTTAACTACTATTTATCAAACTGTACTTGGGGCCACTGGTTTAAAGCCTTAGTAAACAGCCGATATTTCATACCACTGGTTTCCCCACGAAATAACGTCTGAGGAAAGAGCGACGAAATACTGATCATGTCCCGTCAGTACCCACCGGTAGATTTGGGTAGTACTTTTGACTGTTTGAAGCATATTTCCTTTGGGTCAGGACCAATCAAAAGCACTACCCTCGTTCCTCAGACGTCATTTCGCTGGGAAACCGAGTCACAAAAACACTTCACTGAAACCAAAAACCACGCTTGCCTGAGAAAACTGCCGCCAAATGACGTCTAAGAAACGAGCACAGAAATTCCATACTGATGACGCGTCACTACCCAGATCTGAGTAGTGCCTCTGATAGGTTGAATAAAATTTCCCACGCGACTCGACCTACAATCAAAAGCACTACCCAGATCTGGGTAGTAACGCGTCATCAGTATGGAATTTCTGCACTGGTTTCTCAGACTTCATTTGGCGGGGAAACTAGTGGTAGCGTCGCCAAGTGTCGGCTGTTTTCTCAGACTAAAACCACGCATCAAAAAGTCTCTTGCACATACGGTAATCAAATATCAGCAATAAAACGAAGAAAACAAATCGGAGGAAACCTCGTAATACTGCCCCTTTAATTGGCTTGGCAATCGTTTCTGCACGAGTTCAAATACTGTTTCAAATCCCTTATTGTATTTACCTGGAATGCTAGTAAAGACTTCACTCATGCCCATCAATGAATACTGAGGAATCTGCCACCAGATAGAGAAGTTCCTGACAAAAAAGTACGTTTTTCCACTTGCTGTGTGGTTATCTGCGCCAGAATCAAGGAAGCTACTTGTCATCTTTTTCTCCACAAGGCCAGCTACCGAAAAAAGAAATCACTGCTTCATCAAAAATAGCAAACATAATTATGTACTGTCTTTTTTTCTGTGGAACAAGGAGTAGGTCTCTGACAAAGGACTCAGAGGCCTTTAAGTGTTACGATGATCAAGATTTAAGAATCTACAGTTTCTATGGGAGCAAACAGACAAAAGCCCATCATCAGGATCTGTAAGTTGGGAAACTACAAGTAAACTTTAAGTACATAATTGTGTTCAGTAGGTTATGGGTGAATACGATCTAATATCTTGATAACTATTGCAAGTGAGTTATAGGTCATCGTTACATGATATGAAATTTGACTCAGCTAATAGGAAGTATATACTGAATGCATATATTTTATTATTTGCTGTTTTTGTTAAAGCTACAGTGATTAAATTAACCTTGTATATAAATTTACTGGTTATATAATTATCATGATAATCAATTACCCATTCCTGCAGAACCAGCTGCCAATAACATCCCTAAGATGACCCTGCTTAGCATTGGGATGGTGAATCCACACTTGTTAGACAAGCCAGGATAAACACCTCTCTCAACTACTGGAACCAGGATCAACAGAATAACAATCTCACAAAGACTAGGCCATGCAGCAGGCACAATGAACTCTCCATATTCTGCCTGAAGGTGTAACCCTTGTAGGATAAATGTGCTGTAAAGCTAGAAATTTAAAGATAAATTAATTATTGATGGGCATACAATGTACAGTGCTGTACTTTTGAGGCTGAGACCCACTGAGCAACAAGGTAGGTGGGTAAATGTAAATGATGGTTGATATCGTGTAGTCCTGCATGCTTGTTGATGACGCAGACAGTCCATGATGTTTTGACGCCCCTTGCAGAGGTCATTTATTTACCAGAATCAAAGTCAATTGCGTGCTGCTATGTACACAATCCCTCAGGACTAACCCATCTATACAAGGAACCTTTCACAGCGTGCAAAGAAAGTTGTGTCTGATAGCCCAGGACTAGTGGATTTTGCTATCGGGCTAGTGATTTTTGTTCTTAACTTGCCCCAGGGGCAAGTGCTGTACTTTGGGGAAATCCGAACCCTGCTTTCAAATCCTGTACTGCTAGTACAAAACATAAAGTCAAGGCTCTCTTAAGAAATTTTCATAAGGCAGACTCCTTCCCCACTGTTCCTGAGTCACTATTTTTTCTTTGACTGACTATCTTTAAGAGACAGCTTTCTGATATATTTCGGACACTTATTATTTATTTACTTTTATCAGTATCAACTACATGTATCTGAATTTCACTCTTGCTTCGTTACAGGGTCATTATTTATTTGATTTCTGATGTTGGGGCAAATTTTTTTCCTTTTGTTTTTCGTTTTCTCACTTACTTGTTATCGTGTATTTGTTTTCTTTTCGCTCTCCGGTATTTCGTTAATTACGCTCCTTTGTTACGTGCTGTATGTAAATTTCGTTATAGTTTGTTATCTTGCCCCTATTTATTACCAGTTTTTATGTGTCTATTAGTGTAACAACATTCGTCGAAGTAGATTATCTTTTTCCTCGGTGGCCCTGACCACCGTCTCTGTTATCCTCAGCATTTGGTAAGCAGCTTCGTTTTCATCGTTTTTTCATTAATTTCATTTTGCAGTCTCTTTAAAGTAGTTTTTCTGTATTGTAACTATTATTTTTTCGCTCTTTGTAGGAATTTACTTTTTTTTCTTTTTTTTATGGTTTGGTAATAGTAAAACATTTGCTGATTGTGAGTTCACGTGTTGTGTTTTGGAATTGGCCCTTGCCCGTTCATCTGATGAAAAAAATTTTTAACCTACATGTAAGTTGATTCTCAATTTCCTTTGTGTTATGGGGCTAGGAGGTAAAGGGAATCAAGAATCAATCTAGGTTAAATCAAAATTAACCTGAGATCAAATTTGATGTGTAACTAGAGGTCATTGGCAGAATTATTTAACAGTGCTATTTATTTCTTTAGTTTTGAAATTTAACAATAAAAAGATATTTGAATCTGTTGTCAATTTTATTACATTAGCCACTTTTAGGAGACCAAGGGTTAAACTTTTGGATCATTATCATTACCGGGAAACTGCATGCCCACCTACCCCTCCCTTAAGCCAACATTTTGCCATAAGTGAGAAGTAAATGTTAATGTTGGCTTATGGGAGGGGTAGGTGGGCAGTTTCCCAGAAACGTATAATGATCCAAACTTTTTACTGCTAAAAGCTTAAGAGAACTATATACAAATGTATGCAATTTACCTGTGCATAAATCATCCAGTAAGGGATGAGTAGAATAGAAAACACCACAATTTTCCATAAACACCTGACTTCATTCACTTCTCCCTCCAAAAATGTCCCGCCATATGTGATGGCAGCCCTATCAAGCCAATCACTTTCAGATGATGATGAATTACTTGTAATACTTCTTGGAATCAGTTCCCTAAAAATGGAATTTGACTGGTGAACATTACAGCCTGGAAGATTCCACGTTATATAACGCTGTGCTCTAGCAGCACCCTGTGCTCCCACACAAGTAGACAATCTGTCAGTTTTCCCACATGCTGGAAACCCTGTGTTTCACAGGTATGCAGAGTATTGAGCTTCCTTCAATTTCTCACAGACTACAGATTTGTCACATACCACATACACAAACTTAACCTGCAAACATTAGCTTTCTTGACAACCTTCGAACTCAAGTCTCACAGTATATTATTATTATTGTATATGTTACAGGTCAAAATTAAGTTCAGGTTAGAATTTTCTAACCTGGGTTGATTCTCAATTTTCTTTGTCTGCTGGCCCTAATCATTCATGAATTTGGGCTAGGAGAAGAATCCTAGGTTAAAAAATTTCAATCTAAATTTAATTTTGACCTGTAACATATATAATATTATCTTCCATGCTATCATGCCTGTAAAGAAAGTTTGATTAGAGAAAAAAAATTTAATGGGAAGAAAACCAGGCTACATGTAGGTATAGAATCTCTGTTTTTTTTCCTCTGAGAGAGTGGCTTGATTTCTGCCATCACCCAGCTCTGCTCTTTGATCCTGAGAGTGGGCTCATTTTCAAGAACAATGGCTGGTAATCAATCCTATTGGGAGTGGTGAAGTAAGGAAAGTGCTCCTTCGGCATCAGTGTGTTTTAAAAACCTTTTCACAAGTGGCCGTAATATTATAACTTTAAGCATCACAAGAGCTACATAAAAGCAACAGGAAAATTAATAGTATTATCCGAGCAAGTTTCTTCCAATCAGCCTTCCAACACAGTGTGACGCTTGCTGAATTATGTCTGGCCTACCCTGAGAAAACAGCGATGCTACCACTGGTTTCCATGCAAAATGACATTTAAGGAACAACTGCAAAAATTCCATACTGATGACATGCCACTATACATTTCTGAGGAATGCTTCTGATTGGTTGAAGCAAATGTCCCTATTAGAAAACCAATGACAGGCACTACCCAGATCTGGGTAGTGATACATCATCAGTGTGGAATTTCTGCACTTGTTCCTCAGACATCATTTCATGAGGAAACCAGTGGTGGCATTGCACAATCCCAGCTGTGTTCTAAGGCTTTAAAAGGCCCTGTTGCAAAATTTTCACATAATACATGTAGAAGCACTTTACCTTGTTTCCACTCTAACAGCATGTCTTCGGGACCATGCCTGTTTAACGATCAACCACATGTTTCTAATCCCGGTGCCAAGTGGTCTATTAACAGAAAAATATTTGCGGCAGCAAAGGAATGATACATAGGCTAATGTCAGTGAAAATGCAGGAAGACCAAAGCCAATAGTAAATGCATAGTTCCATTTTAGTTGTTGAATGTAAGTGACTCCAGCAAGACAAAGAAGTGAAATCACATTGGACATCCAATAAAAGCAATTAAACAATGTTCTGTAATCTGGTCGCGGGGCATCCATCTTGAGTTGGTCTGCCCCAAAAGCAGATAAATTTGCTTTCACCGCTCCCTCTCCTGCAGAAACAGACAGGAAGCCCACAAGAAGAGTCATTAAAATCCATGGCTCGTCAATGAGACCTTCTCCTCTATGAAAGTAATAGCGCCCCATCAAGAAAGCAACCACCACCAGAATTACAGCACCAATAAAATAGACCAGGAAGCCACAAACAATGGTGTTATAGCGACCAAAGCGAGAATCCGCCATGACACCACAAACAGCGCACATGAACCAGGAAACTGAGGAAAACGCCATTGCACTCGCTACGGCTACGAACAAGGGCCATCCGCAGCACTTGTTGAGGAATAATGCAAAGTTGATCAATATTCCGTAGTAGGCAAATCGTTCAAAAACCTCGATCAAAATCAGCATCAACACGGGTAAACGTCTCATTCTGAGACTTTGGCGAAGTCTGCGTGTGACGGCCTCTCGAAAGTGGCGATGTTTAGCTCTGATCTTCTCTTTTAGCAACGGTGATGTCTCGGTGTATTTGGGATCTACTTGTTGTGGCGATAAAAGGCTATCATTCGGGTAATTCGCTGCTGGGTTCACTTTAACTATAAGCGGCATCTTTTGTTCGGATGCAATGCCTTTTTGCCCAAAAATCTCGACAAGATACAAAACAAACAGGCACTTCCCATAAGCGTAGGATTCGTCGACATCCTATTTCACAACAGGATGGGGACTTGTCTTGTCAAGACAGTGTGGGAAATCTATAAATCAACAATCGGGTTTATCATCCAACATGGTTCATGTTCAAGTATTCAAACCAAAACCAGTCTGTAGCCAAACGGAAACGCGACATCGCGCACTCGAACTTGTCGCTCCGGAAGGCCTGGGTAGGAGTATTCAAGTCACGCTCGGCAAATGCCCCCATTCAGAACGCTCAGCGCTGGTTCTGTTTCGCTTCCCTTGGGGACAATTTTAAAAACTTATTGTAAACAAAATTGAAGATTTTCGGTAGCAATTATAATTATTGCTATTATGGTAACCCCATTTTTTGTCAACTATTTGAACGGAGCAAGAGTTCTTACACAGCAAGTACTCTCCAGACACAATTCTCTGGAAGGTACAGAGATCATTTTATTTGTTTGTTTGTTTCAGTAAGCTTATCTTCAAATTATCATCGGGATATTTATAGTCCCCTATCCTATGTAACCAATCGAATCAATTAAGTAAGCTATCGCAATCTCTTATTCTGTAGCCAAAATAAGATAAATCAAGGTCACAGCCTGAGTATGTCATATATAATAGGAAAAAATTAGCTGATTTTTTCTGGAGTTGACTGGATGGGAATTCATCATTTTCACATAGGCCATGATGCACCTTGTTGACCCCCCAAAACTTTGCATAACCATCGTCTTCGATTTCTCTTGGGATGACTCTAATACCCAGGAGAATTGGAAACAACTGATATGCAAAATTTTGGGGGATGAATAAAACAAGAAAAAGGTGCATTATGGTCTATGGTAAACGTGAGGCACTGCTGCCACACCCTTACCCAAAATCCCCTTTAATTCCCCCGGGCATTCCACATGGACAGAGCATGATATGACTAAAAAGAAGACCCACGATAACCAGGCATGAAGAGCAGGAAAATGCAGCAAATTAGGCTATTATACTCTCTGTGACCTTCTTCGCTGCAAAAACAAGCTGCAAATAAGCAGGGGCAATTTAAAAGAGCTCATAGATTTGAGCACTAATGTATGTATGGTATATTGTTTGTGTTACTGCACCTTAGAGTATCCCAACTGTCAAGGACAAGTTGCCATCGTGACTGGAGGAAATAAAGGTATTGGTCTTGAGACAGTGAGAGGACTTTGCAGAGCAGATGTAACTGTCATAATGGGTATGTATTAATTCTCGCAAAAGCAAGTTTACAATCTTTTTGTGCCCAAAGAGCACAAAGCATGCGAGCAGCGCATGAGCTGCACATGGTCTTAGCGGAAAGCACAGTTGTTCGGCCCATATAGGTTAAATATGATTCTCAATTTCCTTTGTCTTCTATGGCTAGGAGACATCACAGGAAATTGAAAATCGACCTAGGTTAAATCCAAATTAACCTGAAACCAAATTTGACATGTAGAATATGTATTGGTCATTTCCTGTTGGTATTCACATCCAATGTGACATCAGCAGTGGTCACACGGCATTTTATGTTTCCAGGCAACATTCAAGTGCACTAAACTGGTTCATTGGACTGGACTTGCCTTAATGAAGGTGTGATGTTTTATTCATCTTCAAAGCAATATATTAGACATCGAATATCAGACGTCTGATATCAGACATCAAACATCAGACGTCTGCTATCAGACATTTGTTATCAGATGTCTGATATTAGAAATCTGACATTAGATATCTAACATTAGATATAATAATAATAATAATAATAACGTCTTTATTAAAAGCATCCGATAAAATTACATATCTGATGTTACAGTAAAAATATATATTGATAGAAAAAAGTTACAATGATTAAGACGAATAAAAAAGATTAAATTGTAAACGTTCAGTGTTAATGCTGGGCCTGACAATGGATTTCCTTCGAAGGTTTGCAATACAGTCTTTGTACCTAGGGAGCAAGCTTATTAATGGATGGTCATCGCGTTTGAGGTTATAAAAAAGGCGTCTGTCATCATCAGACATCAGACATCTGACATCAGACATCTGCCATAACAGACATGCAACATCAGACGTCTAACATCAGACATGTGATGACAGACGTCTGACATCGGACGTTAGACGTCTGATATCAGACACCTGACATCAGATGTCTGTCGTGACATAAATTATCTGATGTTAGAAGTCTGATGTAGCATGTCTGTTATGAGACGTCTGATGTCAGATGTCTGATATCAGACGTCTGATGTCCGATGTCTGATGTGAGACATCTGATATCAGACATCTGACATCAGACGTCTGATAACAGACATCCGACATCAGACATCTGATGACAGATGTCTCACATCAGACATCAGACATCAGACGTCTGATATCATATCATATCATATCATATCATAACAGACATGCTACATCAGACATCTAACATCAGACATGTGATGACAGACATCTGACATCAGACATCGGACATTAGACGTCTGATATCAGACACCTGACATCAGACGTCTCATAACAGACATCCAACATCAGACGTCTAACATCAAACATGTGATGACAAACATCTGACATCAGACATCGGACATTAGACGTCTGATATCAGACACCTGACATCAGACGTCTCATAACAGACATCCAACATCAGACGTCTAACATCAGACGTCTGATGACAGATGTCTGAAAACAGACATCGGACATCAGACATTTGACATCAGACGTCTAACATGAGACGTCTGATGACAGATGTCTCACATCAGACATCGGACATCACACGTCAGACATCAGACGTCTAATATCAGGCATCTGATGAAAGACATCTAACATGATACATCTGATATCAGACATTGGATATCACACGTCTGATATGAGACCTCCGACACCAGAGGTCTAACATCAGACGTCTGATATCAGACATCTGTTATCAGATGTGTGATATTAGACATCTGACATCAGATGCCTCATAACAGATATCCAACATCAGACATCTGATGACAGACATTTTATGACAGACATCTAACATCAGACGTCTGATATCAGACATCGGGCATCAGACGTCTGATATTAGACATCGGACATCAGATGTCTGACATGAGAACTCTGACATCAGAGGTCTAGCATCAGACGTCTGATATCAGACATCTGTTATCAGACGTCTGATATTAGACATCTGACATTAGATGTGTAACATCCGATATCTGACTTCAGACATATGACATCTGACATCAGACGTCTGATGTCAGACATCTGACATTAGAGGTCTGATATGAGACATCCGACATCAGATGTCTAACATCAGACATCTGATAACAGATGTCTCACATCAGACATCAGACATCAGACGTCTGATATTAGACATCTGGCATCAGACGTCTGATGACAGACATCCTATGAACGACATCTAACATCAGACGTCTGATATCAGACATCGGACATCAGATGTCTGATATTAGACATCTGTTATCAGACATCTGATATCAGACGTCTGATATCAGACATCTGACATCAGACGTCTAACATCAGATGTCTGATGACACACATCTAACATCATAGGTCTGATACCAGACATCAGACGTCTGATGTTAGACCTCCGACATCAGATGTCTGATATCAGACATCTGTTTAAAGAAATCTGATATCACACATCTGATGTCAGACGTCTGACGATGTCAGATGACTCCTATCATGTATTTTGAGTGAAGATGACAATCTGACTTTGGGGTATCCATTCTAGTCACCACCATTTATAATCATAAGTCATGATCACTTTCATAATCCTTATGAACTGCATCCACAGTGATATTTGCTAGATGTAATTTCTACTGTTATAAACAATAATAATTGTATGTGTTATTATAATATACAAATCAAAACAACTTAACTCTCATTGCTGTAGTTCACTAGCAATAAATATATTTTCTCCAATAACCAGTGTTTACTTCTTTTTTTTGCTAAAGCATTACTCCTGTTATTTTATCCACTCATTAATTTTAATATTCCATGCATGCAATATCGAAAACAACTACATCTGCATATGGCCCCTGTTTTTCAAATGGGATTAGTGCTCAGCGTGCAAAGAAAGTGGTGTCTGATAGCCCGGGGCTAGTGGATTTGCTATCGGGCAAGTGAATTCTGTTCTTAACTTGCCCAACGGACAAGTGAAGTATTTTGAGGAATTCAACTTACAGAATTTAAGAACTGTGAAATCAATTCTACTCATCAAAAAATTTGGGGGGCTAGTTGAAATGACGTTAATGGGCTAGTAAATGCTAGCTTCAGCTTGCCCGAATGGCAAGCTGTAAAAATGACTTTCTTTGCACCCATTTGCTATCCACTGGATAAATTACTACCCAGCAGTTAAGTATTAACAGGAAAGCAATTGCGTTATCCACCAAAAAGTGGATGGCGCTTAATGCCTTTCAAACAAATGGGCTCTGAGGTATAGCAGATACTACTGACACCCTAATTATTACAATATTATTACAGGAGATGGTATGAGTTAGCTGTTATTAAAGCAATGCCACAGCATATTAGCCTGCAGTCATCCACTATTACACCCATTTCCTTTTGACAATAACTAAGTACTGACATATAATGGAGTCAAATGGGGTGAACATGGAACCTGTGCAACTTTAGCCACCCTTCCTGAATAATAGTAACCTCATTTAAATCCCATATTTTTTGGCAAGGCAGAGCACTGGGTCCAAATTTACTCCAACCAAACAGAGATTAAGTATATCTCAGCTTCCAATAGTCAGAGTTGAACCCCCCCCCTCCCCCCTCCCCAATTACACAATTTACTTTTTTTCTCCCGCCCTCCCATCCCTAACTTTCTACGTGCCTCCTTTCCCTAGCCTCAAGAGGTTGTGTGATACATGAATTTCTAGTTTTTTTTTTAAGGATTGCACTCCAGAGATATTCCATTGTCTGTTTAACCCACTCAACACAGTCTGATGCAATCCACATGTCTCTACTTCAGCTTGTAGGGATGCTGGTGCTGCAAGGGAAGCAATAAAACAGCTCAAAGAAGAGCAACCACAAGCGAATGGTAAATTTGTTTTCAGAATATACCTTTTATTATACAAGTTGTTCTTTTGCATGGCAATTAGATACAGTTGTATAAGCCTTAGGTTCACTCTCTGTGATACTTATGATTTACAAAAAAGGTAAAGGCACACACGAGCCAAAGGCCCAAACAGCCCAGGCTATCCCGGTTCCTTAGCATGAAGCATGCCTAGGAGTAGGAGTATTGCTACGTCCCCCAGCATGGACAGGATCCTATAGTCCATCGCAGGGTTAACCCACAGAGGTATTGTTGCCCATACCCATTTATACACCTGGTTAAAAAGAACTAAGGAAACAATGCAATGGGTGTTGCTTGAACCAGGTGAGGTGTTAAACTGCTAGCCCATGCACACCTACTACTTAATGAGTGCAGCCTCCTAAACATAGCCTGTGCACAAACCCTACATTGTATCTCCTGAGATCGTCAAATCATCTGTGGACAGGCTATCCCAAATAGCAGTTGCTCTTACTTTTCATATTGTTTTCCTCTTTAGTGATTTAAATTAAAACAGTGCTTTTGGAAAAGATACATAACAGTATTTTTTTTGTTGTTGTTTTTCAATCAGTTGAGTTTATGGAGCTTGATTTGGGAAGCCTTGGTTCTATACAGAAATTTGTAAATGAATTCAAGAAGAAGGGAATACCCCTTCATATCCTAGTGAACAATGCCGGGATTATGTTTCCACCATATGGTACAACTGAAGATGGCTTTGAGCGACAGTTTGGAGTGAATCATCTTGGACCTTTTGCTCTCACAAATTTGCTCTTAGATGAGTTGATAAAGTGAGAGAATAAGTGAAATGAAATTATTTCATGTTATATATATGCCTCTGGCTAATATTTGTCAAAAAATGAACTGTGTGTTATTTGTGCAAAATTACAGTCTGAAGATGTTAAAATACCACATATTAATCATTATTGTGTTCTATGTTTTGAAATCATGGTTTTACGACGTCAACTCTGTCAACACAGACACTGACGGGCCCATAGAAAGTGTCCGTATCAATTAACAGGGTGTCCATGTAGTGCTGGTTGAATTTAGAGAAAATGTAAGGGCTTTCTTTCCCTAGTGACAAAACAAAGTGTCCATGATAATGAGGTGTTTGTATTAAGGGGGTGTCTGTACAGCGGGGTTTGACAGTATTATGCAGTAAATTAAGTGGGATCTCATGACAATATTTCACTAGAACAGGACAACGTTAGAAGTTCCAGAACCATAAGATCCGCAAAGAGTCTACAAACCAAAATAGAAATTAAGTAAGCTTTGGTATGCATTTGTAGGTGAATAAACAATTATAATTATTAATGAGACTTTAAATGGATCAAGCAATTACATGCGTCAGTGCAATGGATAAATTCCAGACAGCAAATTTAACTATGGCAGCCTGACCAGCTGTTACACCACTGTACCAAGAGTAATGATAGTAACTCGCAAAAACTCTTGTATTACAGGTCTGGCTCAGCACAAAGACGCTCCAGAATTGTCACTTTGTCATCCGAGGCACATGCCCCGGGCACCATTAATTTTGAAGACCTACAGAGCAAGTATGTGCAACTTAGTAAGAGCAGGGTAGCCTGGGGGAGGGGGATGGGGGAACTCCTACATGGAAATTACATGGGTGCTTGTCATCTCACTTATGATAGGAATTACAGGTTATGGCTTCACTTAGGTTGTTGATGACGGAAAACCAATATTTTTAACCATGAAGGTATCGCAAAAAACAAAAATGCCTTCATACTTTGTTGGAGTATGGTCTCCTTTAGATTAATGGTCAAATAAACGCTGAGCCACGCCCAGGTGGGTCTCCTAAGGGGTCAATTCCTATTTTCCGACGAGCATCCCTCTGTCACTTTCATACGTCTCCACCAGGCGAAATAAGGTTTTAAATAGAAACATTATATGCCATGTGATAACTCACTGCCGTTCCATTAAGGGAGCCTGGAAATTGCCAATTGCAGGAGCTCATATGGACTCCTATCAATTGTTAGGACCTGTCTGCAGAAAAGGATCTTGGTTTTCCGTTATAGTCTTGGATAGGTACAATATTAAATGATACAGTTACGCAGCATGGCCGAGCGTTGAGAGTGCCGGAATTCTAATTTGGAAGCTATACTATCGTCTTTTCGAAACGTCGAGTCTTATGTTCTAAAAACCAACACCTTCTAAATCCTACTGAGCCCGGTATTCCAAGAGTGTCCTCTAATTTTAGATAACGATAATCCAGGTGAGACCCGGCAATTTTTGATGCATCACTCTTACTTCGCGTAATCTTCCTTTCTTAAAGTTAAGAATAATAAAATAACGTCTATTTGCTTTATGATCTTTGCAAAATCTATCAAATCTTATTGTCCGCTTCAAAAACTACAACATAAAAACGCTTCTTATTTTAAGACGAAATCCATCAGGAAATTGACTGGTTTTAATTTTCAGTGGACAAAAACCTTGTATCAGAATATGGAAAAATAATTTAAACAATATGGCATTTTTTTAAAAACATTTTCAAGAGTTATAGATGTAATTAGTTTTCTGTAATTCCACCAAAAAAAATTGCTATGAGAGCCCGAGGAAATGAATGTAAAATTTCACAAAATGACATCTCACACATGATATTTTCAGAATTTTACCTGTGTTTTCACAATAAAAAATTCTTGTGAAATTTGACATTTACTTTCTCGGGCTTCCATGAGAAATAGTCTTTGGTGTTGTTACAGATAACTAATTATATCTATAGCCCTTGAAAAATGTAAAAAGGAATGCGATATTGTTTACACACTTCAGGAACAGGATTTCGTCCACTGAAACTTGAAATTACCCTAATTCCTAATAGATTCCGTCTTAAGCTCTCAGTACGATTTGGGAACACTATTGGTACGTCATCTATTGGAGACAGGACCGCCATTTTACGTGGTCATGAGATCCACGCGCGCGCAGGTCTAGCCGTTTGCAGGGCAAAGGCAGTGCCTTCATGTCACAGTTATTTAAAGACCTTGGGTATAAGATGTCTGGTCCCGGGAGTCTAACCCACGACCTCCCACTCTGAAGTCAAGCGCTCCACCGACTCAGCTATTTCTGCTGCGGTTAATCTCATTTCAACAATCTCATGTTATCATTAATCAGAAGCAGCAAAACATGTGCAGTGCAGTGTATGATTTATTTACACACACCTCTGCCTCTGCCTCTGCTCCCCTAACAGAATTTACTACTCTCCGCATCTGAGTTACAGTCAAAGCAAGCTCGCCAATATTTTGTTTACCTACGAGTTGGATAGACGCTTGAAGACACGGAATAGCCCTGTTGTGGTCAATGCTCTTCACCCAGGCGTGGTCAACACAGACCTGTTCCAATATGTTCACTGGCTTGTAAGAATACCACAAAAGCTGTTAGCAAACTTATTTTTTATGGTAAGTACAGATGTATTTGTGAGGTAGAAAGAGGACAAAAGAGGGGACAACGTTCCTCGTTAACTAATAGTACACATTTGATTTTAATCAACGTTGATATCCGTGCAATCCCAGAATACCGACCACGGGTCCTGACATTTACTCAGCCAATCCGCTAGACATTCGTGTTAGGTGTGCAGCCATGGGTATATTTCAATATACGTTGTCGTATTTAAGGCGTCAACCTGACTCAACTAGTCTGCAAGGTCTTGTGGGTAACTGAAAATCCTTTGTAATTCGATCACGCGCCGTTGTCAGTGCCATAGATGGTATAAAACGTCACAATTGATTTTTTATGACAGAACGACTGCTTCATGGCCAAATGTGGAAGTATTTTTGTTAATTAGCAAGATTGCTAAATGTTCTCGTCACGTATACCTTGAGAGCTGTGGATTCTCCATGCTGGACGCTACGCTATGGAGAGAGAGAAACCACTGCGGACAACCGCTTGCTTTTCCATCGAGCATGCGCAAAAACGTGACTCCTTCGTCAAATGACATTACTTACTCTGTTTCGCAGGAAACATTAGGGACTTAAGACGTGACGACTGCCTGTACATCGCAGTTTTTTTGTATCTTTTTTCTGCCATTTTTGCACGACTACAACGTGAAAATTTCTAATTTCGCGTTTTATGGGGAACGTAAAAAGAAACGGCGAAAATTTATTTCTCCTTCTGAACTTGTATGTGGTCCCTAAGTATTCAACTTCAACTGGGCTGTTCTACATCGGCAAAGTAAGTGGGTTGGGGAAATGGCGATAAAGGCGGAAAGTGCGCAAATTTACAGCATGCTCGCGTTAAGGCAGCAGTTATAAGTTAGCGTAAGGAAACGCGCGCGAGCCTCAACTTGTTTAAAAACACGTTTTACCTGTTCAAAGTTAATTTATTCCTCTATGGCGCTGGACGGCGGCTCGATCAGAGAAGCAAACGGTCGGTCCCAGTGGTTTCTCTCCCTTTGTAGCGTTACATCCAGCGTGGAGAGGCTACTGCTAGCAGGGTAGCAGTGTACGTCGCGTAGGGCGTCCCGCAACGTTAATTAAAAGAGAAAAGTGTACTTCAGAGATAATAAAAATAATATACTAATATTAACACAATAACAGGATAGCTTCATTTCGTTTATTTTAGACCCCTAAGCAAGGTGCAGACAATAGTCTTTACGTGGCTCTATCTCCGGAGTTAGAGGGTACAAGTGGAAAATACTTTGTAAACTGCCTTCCGGTAAAGTCTTCGGAAGAAACATATCAAGAAGATCTTCAAAGACGACTTTGGAAAGTTAGCTGTAAACTTACGGGCATTCAAGATTGACTTTGGTCATACTAATGATTTAGAACATTAAGAAGAAAAAATCTTTAATTATTTGTGACAAGGTGTCTTCTTAGATTAATATAATAAACCTGGGAAGAGATGCCAACAAGTTGGTTGGCTATTAAAACTATTAAATAAAATGTCTTACTGGTGGGAAATAGAAGGTAATGCGTACATGACAATATTTTTCTAAAAAAAGTTCCATTGTGCTCGCGAATTAACTAACCAGAGAGCCGCTTTAGAGTAGTGCTGGGTGACCCGAATGACTGTAATGACTCCATTGACTGGGATTTGGATATGTGTCGAAACCACTTGGAAGAGAATCACGTACTAGTTTTAGCACTTACATCAGGTTTATTCTGTATACTGTAATTTTCTGATTACACACTTCTGAAACGCTGAAGACTCCGAGGGAAAGGGAGTTTAAAATGCCTGGTACAATTCTGCTCTATCTTGATCGTGTCTAATACCGCGTGGCCGCTTATATACCCTACAATATCCTCGTGGAAGTTAACACTATGTAATATACGCAGTATCGCTGGCTATGGGCGGAATGCAAACCACTCCCCCCCGGGTGCGGAAAGCGAATTACTAAAGTTATTGGTTAAGCAACTTGTTTCTATGCACTACATAAGTTAGCTTTAACCAGGTTGTATAACTAAGGCATGCTGTTCAATTCTTCTTTTGTCGCGATTACACATAATTTGTGAATTGGTCGATCATAGACTGACGTTGCTGTTTTAATCTTTGCTTTTCTAACAAGACCATCTTCACCGGGATATATAAGTTTCGAGTACAAGTCCTATCTTCCACGTTCTCCTGGGAGTTGGTTCAATTTCTAACACCAAATCTCCCTTTCGTAGATTTTCTCGCTTTCTGAACCACTTGTTTCTTGGCAGCAGATTGGGAGCAAAATATTTCTTCCAGCAATTCCAAAACTCTTGCACTCGTTTCTCTGTACTTCTCATGAGGTGTCTTGGATTTTTTGATTTTTTCGATTCTACTTCTAGTATAGGAGGTGGAAAACATGGTTTCCGTTCAAAAGATCATGTGGCGTGATAGACGCGGACTTTCCCAAATTCCGTTTGAGCTTGGGTAGAGAGGACGCTGATTTATTAAGCATGTAGCTTCTGCTAAATACGTTCTCCACTGCTCTTCTGTAAGGGCTTGGTTTTTGGAAGTAGCATCCAACGCTTGTCGTACTGATTTGATAGGACTCTCCACAATTCTGTTCTGGTGACCGGCGAGGGGGCCATTCCAACTCCACTGAAAAGTAGACAAAAATTCTTCTGAGACAACGCTCTGGATTCTAGGATATCCCAGTCGTTCAAAAGTTCCTTCAGGTAATGTTGAGCTCCAATGAAATTTGTTCCGTAGTCGGACCAGCAGTTGTTAGGATTTCCTCTCAAGGATACAAAATGGTCGAAACGCCGAAAGAAACGTGTCCGTACTTCTATCTGCTACTAGTTCAAGATCGACTGCTCTGGTCGTCATGCAAGTGAATATAATTACACGTGCTTCTTCCCGCGTTTTTCGTCCAAGTCGTACATGCAGAGGTCCAAACATGTCGATGGCTGTGTTACTAAAGGCTGACTAGGGATGAAATGGGATAACAAGATAAGACAGGGATTACTTGAATGACAAGGGATGACTAGGGATACCCAGGGATTACTACAAATGACAGAAATTACTGGGATGACCAGGGATTACTAAAAATGATAGAAATTACTGGGATGACTAGGGATGCGTGGGATGACTAGGGATGACTGGTACGACTAGAGATGACTAGGGATGGCTAGGGACAACTGGGATGACTAGGGATGACTGGGATGACTAGTGATGACTAGGAATGACTAGGGACGGCTAGGGATGACTAGGGATGACTTGGAAGACTATGGATGACTAGGGATGACTGGGATTACTAGGGATGCCTGAGATGACTACAGATGACTAGGGATTACTAGGGATAAGTAGGGATGACTAGGGAGGACTTGGATGACTAGGGATTACCACGAGTTAATGGGATGACAAGGGATGACGGGGATGACTAGTGATCACAAGGGATGACTAGGATGACTACAAATGACTAGGGATGAAAAGGAATGACTGGAATGACTAGGGATTACTACGAATGAATGGGATGACTGGGGTGACTAGGGATGACAAGGGTGACTAGGGATGCCTAGGGATGACTGGGGTGACTAGGAATGACTAGGGATAACTGCGATGACTAGGAATGACTAGGGATGACTGGGATGACTAGCGATGAGTGGGATGACTAGAGATGACTAGGGATGACTTAGGGACGACTTGGATGACTATGGCTGACTAGGGATGACTGGGATGACTAGAGATTACTACGAATGAATGGGATGACTAGGGATGACAAAGGACGACTTGGATGACTATGAATGAATAGGGATGACTAGGGACGACTGGGATTATTAGGGATGCATGAGATGACTAACGATGACTAGGGATTACTAAGGATGAGTAGAGATGACTAGGGATTACCACGAGTTAATGGGATGACATGGGATGACTGGGATGACTAGGGATGACAAGGGATGACTAGGGATGACTAGAGAATAAATGAGATGACTACGGATAACTGCGATGACTAGTGATGACTAGGCATTACTAGGGATGACTGGGATGAGTGGGATGACTAGAGATGACTAGGGATGACTAGGGATGACTGGGATGCCTAGGGATGACTAATGATGACAAGGATGACAAGGGATGACTGGGATGACTAGGGATGACTAGGGAAGACCGGGGATTGCTACGAATGAATGGGATGACTAGGGATGACTGGGATGACTAGGAATGACTTGGATCACTATGGATGACTAAGAATGACTAGGGATAACTGGGATGACAAGGGATGACTGGGATGACTAAAGATGACAAGGCAAGACTAGGGATTACTACGAATGAATGAGATGACAAGGGATGACTGGGATGACTAGGGATGAATTGGATGATTATGGATGACTAAGGTTGACTAGGGATAACTGGGATTAACAGGGATGACTGGGATACCTAGGTATAACTACAGATGACTGCGAAGACTAGGGATGACCACGAATGACTGGGATGACTAGGGATGACTACGAATGACTGGGATGACCAGGGATGACTAGGAAAGACTAAGATGACCAGGGATGACTAGGAATGACTGGGATGACTAGGGATGACAAGGGACGACTGGGATGACAAGGGATGACTAGGGATGACTGGGATGACTAGGAATGACTAGGGATGACTGCGATGACAAGGGATGACTAAGGATGACTGGAATGACTAGGGATGACTGGGATGACTGGGATGACTAGGGATTACTAGGGATGACTACGGATGACTAGGGATGACTGGGATGACTAGGGATGACTAGGGATGACTAAGATAAGTAGGGATGACGAGCGATGAATAGAGATGACTGGGATGACAAGGGAATACTGGGGATGACTAAGGATGACTAGGGATGACTAGAGATGACTGGGATGACAGGCGATGACAAGGGATGACTGGGATGACTAGGGATGACTAGGGATGACTGGTATGACTAGGGATGACTAGGGATAACTAGTGATGACTAGAGATGACTAGGATGACTGGGGATGACTGGGGATGACTAGGGATGACTGGGATGACTAGGGATGACTAGGAAACACTAGGGATCACTGGCATGACTAGGGAAGACTGGAATCACTAGGGATGACTAGGGATGACTAGAGATGACTGGGATGACTAGGGATGACTAGGGATGACTAGGGATGATTAAGATGACTAGGGATGACTAGGGATAACTAGGGATGACAGGGATGACAAGAGATGACTAGGGATGACTAGGGATGACTAGAGATGACTGGGATGACTGGGGATGACTAGGGATGACTTAAATGACTAGCGATGACTAGGGATGACTGGGATGACTAGAGATGACTGGGATCACTGGGGATGACTAGGGATGACATGGATGACAAGGGATGACTAGGGATGACTGGGATGACTAGGGATGACTAGGGATGACTGGGATGACTAGGGATGACTAGGGATAACTAAGATGACTAGGGATGACTAGGGATGACTAGAGATGACTAGGGATGACTGGGATCACAAGAGATGACTAGGGATGACTAGGGATGACTAGAGATGACTGGGATGACTGGGGATGATTACGGATGACTGGGATGACAAGAGATGACTAGGGATGACTCGGGATGACTAGAGATGACTGGGATGACTGGGGATGACTAGGGATGACTTGGATGACTAGGGATGACTAGGGATGACTGGGATGAGTAGGGATTACTAGGAATTACTAGGTATCACTGGGATGACTAGGGATGACTTGGGACTTCTAGGGATGACAAGGGATGACTGGGATGACTAGGAATAACTATGGATGACTGGGATGACTAGGGATGACTATGGATGACTAAGATGACTAGGGATGACTAGGGATGACTAGGGATGACTGGGATGACAAGAGATGACTAGGGAAGACTAGGGATGACTGGGATGACAAGAGATGACTAGGGATGACTAGAGATGACTGGGATGACTGGGGATGACTAGGGATGACCTAAATGACTAGGGATGACTAGGGATGACTGGGATGACTAGAGATGACTGGGGATGACTAAGGATGACTGGGATGACTAGGGATGACTAGGAAACACTAGGGATCACTGGGATGACTAGGGATGACTGGAATGACTAGGAATGACTAGGGATGACTAGAGATGACTGGGATGACTAGGGATGACTAGGGATGACTTGGATGACTAGGGATGACTAGGGATGACTGGGATGACTGGGGATGACTAGGGATGACTTGGATGACTAGGGATGACTAGGGATGACTGGGATGACTAGGGATTACTAGGAATTACTAGATATCACTGGGATGACTAGGGAAGACTTGGGACGTCTAGGGATGACAAGGGATGACTGAGATGACTAGGAATAACTATGGATGACTGGGATGACTAGGAATGACCAGGGATGACTGGGATAACCAGGGATGAGTAGGGATGACTGGGATGACCAGGGATGACTAGGGAAGACTGGGATGACCAGGGATGACTATGGAAGACTTGGATGAATAGGGATGACTAGGGATGACTAGGGATGACTGGATAACAAGGGATGACTGCCGATGACTGGGATGACCAGGGATGACAAGGGATGACCATGGATGACTGGGATGACTAGGGATGATTAGGAATGACTAGGGATGACTAGGGATGACTAGGGATGACGGGGATGACTAGGGATGACTAGCATTGACTAGGAATGACTGCGATGACTAGGAATGACTAGGATTGACTAGGGATCACTGGGATGACTAAGGATGACTAGGGATGACTGGGATGACAAGGGATGACTAGAGATGACTAAGGATGACTAGAGATGACTGGGATGACTG